GTTATGTTATGTTAACGGACTGACTAAGAAACAGATAATTTTAAAATTGAAAATCCCACCACTGTCATGCTCGAGAATTGCGACCAATGACGTAGGTGGTGGCAGTAATAAGAAACCTTAACAAACCCAAGAAAAATGCTTTGTTAGTATCTGTAATTCATTTGATTCTTATTTATTTGAAATAGAACGCAAGTGGGTAGCTTAGATACAATAAATTAGATCTAAGTTTCAATATTATTCTAAACTCTGCTCTTATAGCGCTTAGCTTAAAGGAATATTATTTTTAATTATACTGTCTCGGATCTAAAATAGAATCTTTGTTTCTATTTATTTAATAACGAATCGGAATATTTATGCAGGAGTTATTGTGATGGCGTAGTTTTATGGAAAATTAGATATATAGAGAGTAATTTCATTCGTTGCTCAACAGTATTTTACTGGTCAGAGGCGATTTTCTAAAGACTTTCAATAAAGACATATTGTGCAGTATACTCTAACCAAACAAATTGTAGTATCCTTCTGTCAAGCCTCCAAGAATTGACCAGGGAATACAAAACTATAGTCTAATAAACTTTAACATGAACCTAAATTAATTATTATGTTATGTTATGGCTCATTCCGCATCCCGCGACGCGGCGACTGTCGCGCTAGCTACTACTGGTTACTCGATTCGGCGGTGATTAGCGCACCCGCGAATATGGCTTGAAACTGGTCGAGTTCCTCGTCAAATAATTAAGTGAGAACCCCGAAAAACATAATAATTAATTTAGTATGTCTCACGAAAGTTATAATATAAACCTAATGGTAACGTCATTTGATACATTTATACCTAAATGTAACGTAATTAGAAAAGGTTAGTCATATCGAAGAGGAAGACTATCAAAGTATTAACACTTATTCCAGCTTTCAAATTCAAGAACAAAGTAACATAATATTGTACCCAGGAATTACAGAATAACAATACATAAAAGTACCTATCAAAAACAAATTATGGCACGCTATTATCATAACAATAGCCGAAGCAATTGTCACATTGGTTTTGATAAGGAAAAACATAAAAATTCGACCGTATTTTAGGTATGACGTGCAAGTGACAATCCGTCTTGGGGTGGCAAACCAATTTAAAATGTTGACTTCCTGGTGTATAATGTAAACCGAACAAATACGATGAAAAATCTAATTACTTTCGAGGCAACAAAACCACGTCGGTACTCATAATAAATGGATTTTAGGTACTAATATAAATTAAAATGAAGCATAACATCAACAAGAGAACGTAATACGATATTTTACAACTAATCAAATTCAATACTTTTATCGAAACTTCAAAAACGATATTGTTCTATGAATTTTGTACCAAAATTTAACTTATGACGTCATCATACTTTCGAGTCAAATAGCACACTTATTTCTGAAATAATTGCTAGAATAAATCGAAAATTAAGTATATCGTCAAATATACGATTGAAATTGTAATTATTTTTGAATATTTAATTGGATTGAAAATTCAAAATAATTTATTTTGATCCAGGTAAATATCCAATTGTGTGTTGTTGAATGTTTAAATGGAAATTAATACAAAAAAATGAACTTGCAATTCAGTACATTGTTTAAAATAATTACATGTCCATATAGCTTAACATTATGAAAATTCGTGGTTTATGCCCCTACTCAGTAAAAAGTAACTGGATTTAATTAGATTCGATAGTCTGTATAGTGCAGTGCCTGCTAGGGACCACATAGTAAAGAGTAACACGACGTTCTTTGTTAACTGCCTTGTCGTATCATAGATTGCCTTCGATCCTAAGATTCAGCCGTTTCTTTTACTCATCTCCTTTACGTTAGAGTTATCCAAGATTCCAGATGAGGTATCAAATACTGGACCAGACTTTTGTAATCATAATAGAATGCTAGAAACACGCAATTTCATAACAATAAAGGCGTACAAAACTAGTCTATGAATACCTAACTATTAACTCGTCGAGTACCGTCATTATAGACACAATTATAGAACAATAGGTTTCGGTCACCGGTGACCGCGCGGTGTTTTTACAGTTTAAACTGTCAAACACCAAGCGGTTAAATCGCTTTTATGTTCCGTTACTTTAGTGTTACAAATATAATACTGGTTATTAATCAATCTAGATTGAGGAGTTCCCTTTTAATTATAACTAGGTACCTATCTGTTCTTTGGAATCTTTTCGCCTCCTTTGGACGATGACGAAGGAACATTCATTTATCTTTTCCTCCCTTAGCGATTCATCTTGACGAAAGTTAGTTACATAGAATTAATTTTCGTGCGGGTTACGAACGTTCCGATCAGATGAACAGTCATACACGTGTTTGTTTTTCTGTCGCTTTTGATGTGTCAATAGTTTTTTGTAGATTGTAAGGGCTAAAATACTTTTTTATGGAATCCACTATTCCTAGTAGAATGGACACCTTATCGAGATAGCTTTGCTATGGTAAATTAAGACCTATACATACATACATATACATTCGGAGTCGCGGAGACCCTAACGGGTTACCGGCTCGAAGTGCAGGAAAAGGAACGGGGTGGTTTTTAGTCAGTAAGAGTCTGGTCACTGCTTTCCGCCTCACCCGGGCGGGAGAAGTAATTCGATGATTATCCCCCCTTAAAAAAACATACATATAAGAGATATGGTATATACAAGAGTCGAATAAATATGAAGAAATATGTTCTTAATTTAAGTAAGTCTTCAAAGATGAGATTGGTATGATTACTTTTCGTAAAGTTTTCCTGAAAACATTTTCTTAATCTTCAGTTATAGATGAGGTATGATTTCTTATTTAAGTATGTGATTGCCGTAAGGAATAACTTATCCTGTTTGGTCAACAAAAATACATTTCAAATTAGGTCTCAATCTTTAGTTTCTGGGAAATATTTCTTAGCACATTTAGCAAATGGAAAATGTAGATTAGTTAAATAAGTATTACTTTTATCGTAACTAACGAAATAAATAAAGTCATCTGAAGTGATGATTTTAGTAGAAAAATATAAAGAAAAATAAGTATCTGTACATCGTCCAAGATTACTTGGCTTAGTAAGGGCCCGGCCTCAACTGAGTTGTAGTCATCGCTATATCTTTAGGTCGATGCATCAAGCTACGCAACACGGTATCAAATATACTAACTTGAGGTTGTCGGCCTTCATTTATTTTATGCAATAATATTCTGTACATTTTTTCAACTTATTTTCTTTTTTGCAGATCTATGCCATGGTGTGCGTGATCTCTCAATTCCAAGAGTACCTCGACGGTCGTGGAACTGCTGCTTTTGAAAACGTTGATCGGGTAAGTTCCGTTCTTAAAAAGTATCATATTGACTACTTTAATCCGCATTCAACTTTTAGATAAGTTACATTCAGCTTCTGATAAGGTTAAGAAGTGTTTAAACAATGCGATTCGGGATTATGTACTTTTATTATGAACATTTACTTAACCAAAAGCTGTTACGGCAACTAATTTACATACAACTAATTAGCATTATTAGTCCATTAGCACTCATCATTTCAATATTGTATTAGCTAAACCAAAATCCATCAATTTCCATGCTCCAATGCGTTCATGTGCATTATTATGTAGCGCCCAAGCATATACATAATCGAGTGTAAAGCTCCATAATAATTAATCATGGCGTGTGCCCAATGTTGCATAAAAATCCTTACCGCAGAATAGAGTGTAGCATGGTACCCATTAGTTAATTACATATACAGTTGTGTCAATGTAATTAGAAAAGGGCTACCATACCGACATAAATATTTTGATTTATCGACATGAAAGAAGATAAGAACAAAAACGCTGGAATAAACGTGTTTACGAGTTTCATGATGCTAAGGGATTTATCGAGGCTTTCTATCAATAAAGCCGTTTATCGCCAGACCAACCGAAAAACTTTTATCGGAACGATTGGGGAACGATATCCCTTAACGCACTTTTGGTTCTAAAATAGTTGCCTAATTGATATCGACCGGACTTTCAGCGGCCGAAACTTGAAACTCGGAGGAATGGTCGTTTGTGCACGATAACGATATAGATACACTACGTTATTTTACCCGAGGGTATCGTTAGAGGCGACTTAACGGATACTGTCTGGAGAATCTGACATTCTTCTTTCGGACTTAATGAGAATACAGGAGCGGTACCACTTGCAGATAAATAGTTAGTCACACACAGAATATGTGCGGGAATATTATAGAAATAGTATCATGTAGAGAGATGATTGTATAGTGATTGTTAGTCTCAAGTAGTGCGGACACGTTTGGCGGAGTCACGTCGGCCTACAATGCGTGGACGTGGCTCGCGGCTCGTAATCCAACTACAATAAGGCAGACACTGTTTGGTTCACTGTACGCCATTAGTCCTTTTGATCACAGTTGGCATGTTAATCAATCACCTTAGCGAAGCAACATTACGGCGTGTGTTGTGTATGAGATCGATATAAAATCGTATCCTCATGAAAAGTTTGGGAGACGACCACTCACGATATTACGTGTCAGTATGCCTCGTCTTTAGTAATATTGCTCAAAAATGTTTTAATCTATCTTTTACTTATTTATATTTACACTATACGAATTAGATAAATTATATGTTATGATTAGGTTCCGGAATTGATCAAAGTGCCAATGTATTTATTTGTCTACAGATGTATTTACCGATATTCGCTTGGACAGTGATTTTTATTAAAGATAATACAAATCGTTAATTAAATAGAACTATAGTAGGAGCCACTCCCGAAGCATACCCAGTTTCCTTTCGCGCGTTGCTTGCCTGGTACCCATCAGGTAAGTGGGTGGATGAACAGTATGAAAGCTTTTACTCGTACCGTTACAATTTTCCCGGTTGGCGGCTATGTGCTAAAATCCACAGCACTGCACTGTCTCCAATAGAAATTAATCTGTGAATTTTCATCTGCATAAGGATTATTCATAAACCATGGACTTAAAATTGTACAACTAACTGTGTCTCGATACTAGTAGAGCTTTTCTCAGTAGGTATATTCATGTGAGTAAACAGCGATACATACAATACAAACAATGCACGTACGTGTATTACTAAAAAACTGAACTTCAGTTGTCCTATTGTATGATACAATAGTTATAGTAGTTCAAATTATAATAGAATCGAAGAATACATTATGGTGTAATGCTGGTTTATATTTCTTAATGATTGCTCTAATAATAAAAACACCGACAAGGGTACTTACCAATTATCTCTAAGAGGGGTATGGAGGACAAAATGTCAGTCACTCCAAGGGAAATGCCGACTACTTAATATTCTTTATGTTTTAAAATTGTGTTCTGGCTTCGCATCGACCGCTTCATTTCTCTGCGCTTCCCTATGGTTGATTGTCAGTGAATGCCTTAAGGCATTAAGTCCGCTATTCACTGCATTTTTTTGTGAAGGAGTTAAATATAAATAAATATATATCCAAGCGAATATCTGTAAGACTTAATTATTTTTTTCTACAATACTGATCTAGATCTAGATAGGATGGAGTCCTATAGATTTCAGTTTGTGGTTTCTATTTACTAACATAGGTAATGTATACGAGAACATTCATGTACAATCGGATCCACGATTGTAAACGACAGTGGACCCGCATGACGGCTGCCGGACCGGACGCTCAGTGGTTTCAGATTGTATTTATCTACAGATTGTTTGGAAATTGCGTTACCACCGGCATAATTGCGGTTACTCTTTGATTGGGCATTCAAATTTTGCCATATACTTGATATTCTGTTATTTCTACTATTTCTAAGCACCTAACGAAAAATATGTTTGTACTTACTTCACGAAACAGTACAATGAATCAGTAAAGCCTCTCAGCAACTGCAGAGGAAAGGTGTAATTAAATTAATATTATGTCATTTCCCAGTTTCGATTTGTCATAGGTAACATAAGATGTCGCGATAATTTTGCATAAAAGTAATACTAGCAGGAGGAAAACTGATAGTCTGACTAGTCTAACGAGAAATGTCGAGCTATTTTCATCCCTAGTGGGATGTGGGACCAAATTACCGTCATGTTGTGTGAAATACTAACATTCAACCGAATTTAATACTCAACATAGCAACTTGGAACTACACGAGTGGAACGGAAGCAGTTATCATAAGGAATAAATTATTTGTAAGTCGAATCGCTATTTCCGAAGAGGTTAATGGAAAATTTTAACTGTATTTCCTTCGTTATCATATAGCGCTGTAAAGCACCCCATTAATAAAACAGCGAGATGACTTATTATACCTCAAATATCTTACGGAGATAAACAATATCTTTCATTTTTGTTGTCGTCGTACAAAGAAGTCATTTTTTTTACTTTTCGCTTGGAAGCTTGCTATAGAAATACACAATATGCTTAGACGAAGCCTTCTTCGTATTTTTCGTTACATACTTAGTTAAATTAAAATGTTCTATGTCATGAAAGATTGTTAGTGCTTCGACTTGGAAGCATTCATTGTGAAAATAAATTCAATGTACATTCCTAATCCAGAAATCTAAAAGTGGATATTTCGTATTAGGGAATTATATCAAAATTTAAGTAAATTACTTGTACATCTACTTAAAATCAATACAAACAGAGCACTTTTGGCGTCAACAGCTTGATAGAAATAGAAACTATTTTCGACAAAGGGTCCCACCACTTCTTCTACAATTTAAGTACTGTTTGCAGCGTTTTCTTGCTGCAAGTTTTTATCACCAATTATTCAAAGTTACTCTTGTAATAAAATTAGTCGAGTGTTGTGTTAAATGTTCGTACCAAGTTTACTTTACAGTCTAACGATATTAAAACATTAATAATATATTATTTATCTTTAAAATTATCGAACTGAATGAAGTTAATTCAACCCTTCGAAGCGCAGAGACTCATACTCGTACACTTTAAGTATGAAAACTTTCCACTCAATATTAACTAGAACTTTTCTCACCGTTTTAAACTTTAAACAAACTCGCCATTAACGTTAAAATTTCATTTGAATTTAAGACTAATTCATTAAAGTAATAATTACATTTAAAAAAAAACCTTTCTTTAAGTGAGAAAAAACGATCCAAACCTTTATGGTGATTAATAATACTTTAACTTCTTATTTCTATCATACCTATTCATTTATCGAATAAAATTACTGTTTTAGATCGAAACATGAAATTGTCTTTAACTCTCTTTATGACTAATCGCTTGATTTTTCTCTTGATTAAGAATACGGTGCAGTACACAGCAACGGCTCAACAGACTACTACCACCAGTTCTGCTCCAAGTGGACGCCGCCGCTCCGCTGCACGACCCATGCCAAGCCGTTGCGACCCTGAGGAATTCTCCGAAGCGCCCACCAAAATTATCAGTGAGTTTTACAGTTCCGATTTCATCATATTTCTAGACTAAAACATTTATTTACTGTCAAGAAAAGGAAGAGGTTCCTAAGTGTACTGAATACTAAAGTTGAAAGTCATCAAAAAATGTAATGAATTCATTGTGAGGATGATTAAGCAGCAAATTTATTGGACGAAATATAGTTATCATACAAACGAGTGCAAAGGAAAATGAATTAAATAATATACATTCTTAATTCCATTCACCAGAATACTCAATACACTAGTCTCAATATAGAGCTGGTTACTGATACTAATTATAGTGCCACAAACTCAACTGCCATTGGCAGTATTTGGAGGTAGTTTACACGTCTGTTCACAGTGCAGTTCTGGCGACGACGTGATGGGTTTAACTTGTTGTCTGACAATTTAAGATACCTTGGCTACCATTAATAATGAACCAGTGTTCTAGATTCAGCTCTCTTAAAATGGAATGTGCAGATTCCATTCCTACGAAGACGAGTGACTATTGTTAGATAATACAAAATTCGAATGGTAGCATTATATATGAATGTACTACATTAGTTTCCATAGCCGTCTGCGAGATTGACACAGCTTTGGAAAGTTCAATCTCATTTATTCATTTATCGATTTTAGCTCCACGACAAATATCGGACGAATACACAGAGCCACGACCTCAGACCAGCCAAAGTACGTTGCGTAAGTACAGCAATGTGCTGTTTTAGTAACGAAAATAACATTGGTGAATGTCTATCACATGTGACCTAATATTGCTAAAATTTGTTTTGTCCTGCGTCTAAACATGATTGCAACACAAATCACTAACCACACAGCATAACACAGCACACTGTGATGTAACTTTGTCACCACGCACATTACTTGTAAACCAACAACCGTGTAATAACAAACCAGAATGCGAACAATCGCATCTAAAACCAAATCAAGCATGATCCCCTTCAAATGGAGCACACAATGGGAAAGTTAACTGAGGTGAATGTAACCAAACCAAACAGTATTTACTCACCACTCTTGAAAGATGAACTAATGTGAAATTATACAAATTAAGTACTGTATAATTCATGTGGTCAAACGTCACTGATCGTCGGAAATCGTAACTGATAAAACAAAATTGGTCGCCTTTCAGAAACCTGTGGTCCCAAGCGATACTAACCTTAATAATGAAATTCTAAATAGCATGCACCAATCCTAATCAAAAATACTAACAAGGTATCCAATAAAATTTAATGGACCATGCTTTACTGTGCATGCTTGATCCTCAACTGCTTTACGGTTATTTCCTATTAACTTCTCCTTGTTTCTTTTGATATTCTTCGCGATTTTTTTAACATTTCGTTATAGAAATACGTATAAGTTTTAAATAAATCATTATCAACTTTCAAACTTGAAACTAATTATGTATCTGTCGGAAATTGATAAAGTCATGAATGAAGATGTGTAAAGTCGACCGAGTTATTTAATATTTACACATTACAAACATAATATCATTGACTATTATAGATTTTAGTTTCACCAATAAATTTCGATACAGAAAACACAACATATCGAATTGCCAAGGAAATGAACAGTCAGAGATATGTCCCTGACATTTCGTTTCCGGACTATTATTATTATGACATACATATTGTTTCAATATGTATATAATAAACAATATACAAACATATATTAGAAGTTTATTATCATTGTAGCCAGCCGTACAGACTTATCTTATCTAGAGAAAATCAAACAATAGTAATGAAGTATGGACTGAATCAGTAATTTTATGCTCTATTTATTTATTTTTATATCCGCGAAGTTTGAGTGTTGGAGTGACAAAAATATAAACAGAGAAGTCGGTAGGTACTCGGAATCTAATACTACACAGCATTAACTTCGGAAATGAGTCGTCTCTAGTCGAGTGCCATTGGGCCGCATTATAATTTTGTTGCGTACATTATATAAGTTACGAAGCTCGTTGGAAAAGTTAAGTTATAAAAAAAACGTGAAGCGTGCGCGTCATAAATCATGAAATTTCTTTCACACTGTTTCAATTTTATACGTTAAAAGCAACAACTATGTCGAAGTATAGGAAAGTTCTTACTTGTACCAGAAGAAAATTAAAGTTAGAATTGATATTTAATGATGATAAAACAGACATAATATCGCGCTCATATTTCTTAAAGTGACAGATATTGGTATCTAGTGGACACAGTGCCCATGTATTCCTAGTTATGAAGATAAATTCGAAACACTGATGCACTTCGAACCACAACCGTCTTTCCGAAACGAGAAACCAATTACTGGGGCCTACATTGACCAAGTTATAAAACTATTTATACACATTATAAATGTATTTTGACCATGCTTACTGTGTAAAAAAAAGAATAAGTGTCAATATGGTGTAATGAATTACCTCTTCTGATAATGACATCTTGTTTCTTCGTTGCACAGAAGAAAGAAAATCGCAGAGAAAAATGCTTGCAATCGACTCCTGGAATATTTAAATGTGATCCGTATTTAATACTCAGTCGATGGACTCGGAATATACTGGAGGCCAAACACGAATAACTATCGCATTCGTATCGTAACAGTATCGAGCGAGTTAAGTGTTCTGATTGGTTGGTTCACTTGAGCCGGCCAATCAGAGCGCCGAACGCGTTCGATACTATTACGTTACGCATGAGATAGTTATTCGTGCTTGGCACTCTGATGTATATATTATAAAGTAAACATGTCCCGTTTTATTACGTTTTTTATCAAAGGAAAATCCGTCACACATTTATCGTATAAAGTTTCGACTTTGTAAATAATAATATTTGCTGCGTCCGACACGTTTATGTAGTTTATGCAGGCAATATACGCGAACATATTTCACTTTATTTTCACTAGACGTTCAATTAGAAAAAAAAATTACAAGTTAAAGAAAAGTCTAGACATTTTATGAATTTAGTCATTGTCTGTATATTTCAGTGGCATCTCTTAAATGATAATGAAATCAAAAAGCTTTTGTTGTGTACTGTATTTTACAATTACCTATTTAAACATTAAGTTAGAGAATATCCAAGTAATTAAAATTCATAACCTATGCATGTTTTCAACGATGGAATCTCAAAAACATGTACAAAGATAATCAAAAGACGACCTACAAATAAATATGTTACAAACGAGGCGACTGAGATCAGTAGGTACTAGAAACGAACTGAGAACAATATTACGCTAGCGAGTTCGCGAGGCAAAACATTGCACATAAACACACTATAAGTCCCATAACCAAAAGTAAAACCAGTTTACTCAAGGGTAACGTTAGCTTACCCTAAATTTAACGCCTGTTTACCCACGAGTGACATCATGTTACACGTTGAAATTTTACACCTGATATAACTTTACTCTGAGTGTGTAAAAAGGTAGAAAAAATACCCACCCTTCTAAATCTTAAACGTACACAAGCTACCTAATGATTGCCATTGAATATGTTTGTGAAAATGGCAAAGTTGAGTTATAACTCTCCGCAGATCATTTGGAGTTCCGACTTCGAAATTAACTCTTCGAAATATCTGCGAATCGAATTATGTGTGTAGAAGCGACAGCGATCAATTAAGGTGAATACATGTTGCGGCTGTATACTCGTAATGGGAAACTATTTCGTTGATATTATTCGTGGAACGAATGTAACTTGGGTGATTAAGGAGTGACTAGCATGAAGAGGTGTCCTACAAGTCGTTAATTGTAATGAGTTATATACCAGCAACCGTAAAGTCGAGTTCATACTCGTGCCTCGTGGGTTTATCTCACTTCCGAAAGACTGACTCTTGGGCTAGACTTCGAATACAGAAGACACTGTAATAGCCCCAAAACTTTCTTGTACTATATAAGTAAGAAATCATAAAGAAACACATATCAAAGAAAATGATATCAAATTATTCAATTATTAAACATTATTTTGACATGGCAATAAAATTGTTTTTCTAGAAAATAAATTTTCTGGGAGCTATATTGTTTTTATAAAAAGCTACTTGTCTTGTCTGGCTTGAAACACTTATAATAATTTCCAAGTAGGTGCTTATATGAGAAAAACAAAGGACTTGAATACCTTTTTATTAGGCAATTGTATGCTAAAAACAGGTACTTAACCTGTACTGAGAATTAAAAGTACTCAATATTTTGTTATTCCATTACATATACTCATTATACTTCAATCAAGAAAATACACGTTATTTCTATTTTTTTCTTAGAAAAGGCACAAAGAATCAATACTAGGATTTCAGTACGAGGTACTTACGTGAATATATTACTAAATCTGTTCACACGCTTCCATTTCGTTGTAATAGCTACACGAGTCTTGTAAATATGCCTTTATATTATAATTTTGGAGGATAACGCCTGTAATAGAAACTAAAAGCCGGCTATTCAGATACTTGAGATTCTCATTGCTACGAAGGTCTACAATGCCTACCTATGTTATTGTGGGAGATTTTCACCTTGATTAACGTAGTATAGTATAGTATAGTATAGTAGTATTTCATAGTAAAAATAAATGTTTCAGGATTTCTGAGAAATTCTGATTTGACACCACCAAAAAAAGCAACCTATTTTTACCATTCGCTGTTTAAACTTATATAACAAGTTTGTGTCTTCTATCGCCACATTATACTTAACTAGCTGAGCCCGCTGAGCTGAACTGCCTCTTTGGCCGAGTCCCGGGTCGGGCAAAGTATTACTGGGTTTTTAAAAAATTCTCAGTAGTAGCACGAAGTCTGGAATTGTGCCCGGTATATGGCAATAGGCTCACCCCCTATTACATGGGACTTATAACATAAATAGTGAAAAATGAGTGTTACATTGTACAGTGGTATAATGTGCACCTCTTCGGGGATAAAAGGCGTGATGTTATGTTAATGTAGCTGAGCCCGCGACTTCGTCCGCATGGAATAGTGATTCACAGCTCCTCCCCCGTAGTTGACAGCATAATAATATGTAACCTATATGTTGAGCCGACCAGTTAGTAATATTCATGCAAAATTTGAAGTAAATTCATGCAGCACTTTTTGAGTTCATTCCGGACATACATACAGACAAATAGACAAACATTCTAAAAACTATATTTTTGGTTTTGGTATCCACTGTAAATCACGCCTAAAACATTATTTTTACATATTCGATGTACAGTTTTCACTTTCATACGATTTCATTATATGTATTGTATAAATTATTTTATTAATCATTATATAAAACCTTAGGTATAATCTAATAACGTTTATACTGCGTCATACCCAACATACGACATCGACACGAGCGGCATTCACTCGTGCCGAGTATATTTACAGGGTGCAGGATTCCGTAGTAAATGCATCTTCATTTCTGAATATAGCCAGGTGCAAAACTAGATACCTCGTCTCAAGAAGCATTAAGCTTATAAAGTGGAGCTTGGGTGTCGTAAATAGAAGACAACAATGTCTTACCAAAATAGGCAAGATAACTAATTTTTATTTTAATGTCCGTCTGGTAGATTACATAAAAACATTAGACCCGTATTTTTATTTTCTTACAGAAAGGAATAGTTTCGAAGATATATTGATTTGAAATATCGCATGACGTCTCTTTTCAGTACGATTTATACTCTAAAATGACGTACCTACCTCCAACTTTGACTCGTTTTATCTAAGTATTGTGTATTATACGACAAATTAAAAAATACGTGTCTAATATGTTTTCATTACCTAACTGACGGACTAAGATTTTTTATTTGCATACCCTGTCATCATCCCTATTAATAAGATAATTTTGATAATGTATTTCTGTATTTCTACACTTTAAGAATTTGCGACCCACTCGAATGAATAGCTGGCTGTTATTTAGCATTGCATTCACTTAAACCTATTATGTAGTTCCTTCTCCAGTATATCACTAAAGATTAAACTAGCGAAGTTCATCACATGTGTAATTTTCGAAAGAAATTGTATTATTTGAATTTGTTTCGGATTCTTCCCAGAGGAGTCAGTTAGGAAATGTCACATCTGGCTTTGTTTTAGTAGGTACCTCTTGACGTCATAAAGTGTCTATTTTGTAAAATGAACATTATATTTTATGACTTACTAGCTTCTGCCCGCGACTTCGTACGCGCAATCTCGTTTTTTCCAGTTCCCGTTCGTGACACTCGATAAAAAGTAAAAAAAAATGATTAAAAGTATCCTATGTCCGTCTCCTGGTTCTAAGCTACCTCCCCACCAATTTTCATCAAAATCGATTTAGCCGTTCTATAGTTATAAATAGTGTAACAAACACGACTTTCTTTTATATATATTGATTTATTTGACAACCTACCGAATCGGATAAACATTGGGGTAGAAAAGATAACATAGCATCACGCCTTTGTATCCCCGAAGGGCTAGGCAGAGGTGCACGCATGTGGTACCTACTTAAGGCTACTGTACAATGTAACACCTACTTTTCACTATTTATGTTATGAGTCCCATGTAATAGGGGGTGAGCGTATTGCCATATACCGGGCACAATTCCAGACTACGTGCCACTACTGAGTATTTACGGAGGCCTAGTTTCCCAACGTTACCTTTTTAACAACAAAGAAATAGGTTTGTAAATAGTTACTACTCTTCCTAAAATCCTTTTCTAAAAATATAATGACAAACCAGGTCTTGACAAGATTGCTTTTAGGTATCAAAATAATCTATCTGCTTGAAACTACTTTCTACCTATTTTTCTATTAGGTACTATGACTTACACCTTAATTTATTGTATTTGGCAAAGACCTAGTAGTTTTTACGCCTTAAAATACTTCTTTATCAGACAGTCAAGGATTACTGCCAGCCCCTATGACCTTAATACGGCTACCTCATCACATATTAATGTTGATCGGATTTTTACCCTTAGAGTTATTTTGGCCTGAGACTATTTATGTAAATCTTTTAGAATAGGCAAGTACTAGGTGATACAAAGGAAAACAGTTTATATTTTCTGTACAAGGAAATTTCTATAAATAATGGGAAAGTAACACACATTCAAGCTGAAATAGATGTTAGCGAAATCGTGAAGCAATCCACGGTGCGCCGAAAATATTTAAATATGTATCATCATTAGGGGAAGCTTCCACATGCACCGTTGTACCGTATAAAGAATAATTTATGTGTTAAGTATGTTTTAATCACGGCTTAAATAATTAGGAAGCACATTTCTGTTAGCAACACTTCATCTTAACAAACAATATTTCATGTAATGTCAATGTTTTAATAGCTGAATAGAAGCGTACTTAGAGTATAAAGTAAGTGCTCAAAAACATCAAGCAATAGGTGTTTAGTGTATGGTTTAATATTGCAAACAATATTAGAGGCCCAATTACCCCTGAATTCTAACAACAAACCTCAAATTTCTAATCTCCAAAAGGCCGGTAACGCTCTTATAAATCTCTGGTGTTCCAAATGTCCATGCCAATTGCTTACCATCAGGTGATCCGTCTGCTCGCTTACCAGCTTATTCCATAAAATAACAAACAAACAAGTGTTCCTATATAAATATCGTTGACGTTGAAGGTCGTGGGGACTTGGAAATTAAGGCGTTTGTTTCACAAGTTCGGAATAGCGGCATCTTACACGGCAAGTACCAACCAATATGACTTTACAAATATCACACACTATTTTCACTATTTAACTAAAACAAATATTTATTACGTAAAAGTAGAAATAAACCTAATTATTATAATTGTTTAATCTAAATTAGCACTTCGCACTGAGCTTTTTTTTGAGGGAGAAAATCATCCAATGACTTCTCCCGTCCGGGTGAGGCGAAAGGTAGTGTCTTGCTGATTAAAAACCACCCTGTCCCTGCGCCTGCACTTGAAATCGGAGCCCACAAACACTATTTTACTGACAATTATATAATTAGACTTTTTGGGAAGGCTTTATGTTCGGCAATGATGTTATGAATCTTAAGAAGATCCCAAAAATTAAAAAAAAATATATCTCAAATCACAACAGTACCCTAACAATCAAAGTAAGTATTTTTTTGATAATTTCATGACGATTATTACTACGATTATTTATCATTAAAGGTAAAGTCGTTCCTGAAACTAAGAAAGGAGCTCAATCACGAAGTCAATTGATGCAACATGGCAAGTAGCTATCTACTTCTTTAACTCAATCTCATCGTGTTTACGATTCATTTTCATACAATAAAGTACCTATCAGAAAAAAGCGCCAGTTGTTACATTCGTGTTCGTAAACAGCACTAAGAAAGAATTACATTATTTACGCACTATAGGTAGTACTTTCCAATAAGTAGTCTCGTCTCCAATTTATTCGTCAATATAATATAATAATTAATTTTCAAACTCAACAATTTCAATTTTGTCGTTAAAGGTGCAGAATCAAATGTCACCACAAGTAAATCTCGTGCTAAATGGACATGTGGCAAGTAACATATTCAATTCACAATTAGATCTCAAATCAGTAGTAGATACATCATAAAATTAATTAGCTATAAAAATAAAGTACTATTGGGAATCCGTAAATAAATGATCCGTAATTACGCATGTTATTTTCACAGAAGGAAAACTGCGTCGGAAGTTAATTCTGAATCCGTTATCAGCGCTCATCAAAGGTAAATGAGGGCTATCGCGCCTGATTTTGCCCCCAGGGGCGCTAATGGAAACTGAGGTCTCTCTGATCCAGTAGAATATTGTGTATCTAGACATTCAATTTTGAACAGTAACCGAACAGACCATAAGCACCTTTAGCGCCATCTCGTGAGCACAAAACGATAGCCCATATTGCAGTAATGTCTTTACAATATTTAAAAGCAGAGATTATTCATAATTTTATTATTAAAGGTCGTCATTTCCCTGATGCTAAGAAGCAGATAGTTTCTCAAGCTATGTGCAAATTGACAAAACCTGGCAAGTATAGACTTTCTTGGAACGGCTTGATATGGCACTTAAGATAGGGGCGATACCTACTATTGCGATTTATTTGACAAAATTGAAGACTCCAATCAACCAAAACTTTAATGACCCGATTTAATACCATTACTTAGTTGTGTCGTTGCTTAGTAGTTGCTATCAAATATTTTTTACTTAACTGAATTATAATTATCATTATAACCTCCACGGTTATATCATTGAAGGTCGCGATGGTTCGGAAGCTAAGAAGTCCAATTCTACAACTCGAGGTAGCGGGACTAAACTTGGCAAGTAACAAAGTGACTTTTCAATATTTACAATTGTTTTTAACAAACGCATATAGTGTAAGAGGAAATTGATATGGATAACGCTTTCAAATAAAAATTGGGAAACGTGAATAAGGCTAAAGTACCAATAGAGTTTATGTTTAGGATAAGCCCTATACTGCTACACCACACTTTTGTCTTTCAATAACTTTAACCTTAACCACATAATTAAAAATTAACCACATAGCATAAAATTAACTGGGTTTTATATTTTCAGGTGCATGTCCTAATATTTTTACTTAACACAAGAAAATATTTTAACAATAGCTAAAACCTAAAATACTGTTTTTTTTGCTTTTAAAACTACATTTTTGTAACATACTTATATTGAAAACAATGAATCAAATCAACAGTCAAAAGATACCTTAACATGAGGTGTTTTCCTTCAACAAAATAATGATTAAATAAATAAAAGAATTGGCTCTTTATCCACGTACAAAGATTATTGTCAATTTATTGATATTATATCGAAAAAATACCACACACATGTCTTTTAAAATTTGTTATTTAAATACGCCTCAACTGTGTTCGTGGCTTATACATGTTTCATAGGTAATACATGAGTAAAATTATTAATATTATTTCTTATTTATAAACAGCTTCTGTCCTGTCGAGACCAAGCCGCTCCGCCGTGAAGAAGCACGTACAGTTCCCTGACGAACAAAGCTGCATCGAAGAAGCAATTGAAGCACCTCAACCAGGTCCCAACGAGAAACCGGGTGAGACCATTTTCTCAATGTGCCCCTGCTCATGCCATATATTTCTCAGGTATGCGGTTATTACTTATTAAAATATGCACCACGTGTTCACGGTAGAAGTCATCGACTCTTCATACTCACGTCTTCGTTACTCAACTTCGACCAACATCGGCGGAACGAATGTGTAATGTTCTTACATACGTGATATCATTTGTAATCATTTTATAGTCTATATTTTATGTAATCGCTAGTTCTTGTATAGTGTCCGTGATTGTGAATGCACAAAATATCATACATGACATTTTATATGTAGTATAGGACACAAAATCATTACAGAAGGACATAAATTTTGTGTTTACCTTAAATATAAAAGTTCTTCTGAATTTCAACACGGCCAAGAGCAATGTGAAGTTTTTCACCAAAGCTTAAAGCACATTTCAGTGGTATTCACAAGAGAGTTATTAAACACATTTTAATAACTCTCTTGTGAATACCACTGAAATTAACAACCGTTTGAATCCTAAACAAGATTTCTTTGAAAATAATTACATTTTTGTGCGTAACTTTTTTAATAAAAAGACGTTAAGGCTGTATAAAATATGAAACTATGCAATAACTTTTTAGCTTCAATATGATTAAATATGAGCGCTGCAATAGAAATATAGTCGTCCGTTAAATATTGTCTGTCGTATATGATTACCTACTTGAGAAGCTCAATGCTTCTATCGGGAGCCACTTACTTTTATGAAATATTTTATTTATGGTATATTAGGTACGTTTACATGGAAACTTTTGCCATACAATATTGATCATAGATTTGTGAAACTGTCTGACTCTACAACTTTCGTATTTGATGTCAACCTTCATATCTTTTGAGCCCATGTATTAGGAGTGTCTGTTATCTTGTCACTCATATTGGATAGAAATACAAGCTAGGTATCTGTTAAGAAAAAAATCATCGAGAGACTATTTGAGTAGTAAACGTTCTATGCGTATTTTGTTTTATTTTTTATACCTTCTTGATAATTTTTTTGTGTTCAGAAGTGTTCAGCAAATGCTTATAACCTCCATTGAGTAATGCAAATTAACATATAGGTAAATTAAAAAAAATAGATATTCACATAGATACAGCTTCAAATATTCTAATCTCTGGTTCAAGTTGAGCACGAAATGTGGTTACATTTATCTAAAATGTTTCAAATACTTATTAGTAGTCTTTCCGACCTTAAAAGTACGAGTTGTAACTGAAGTAACTAAAATCAATATATCTTTGTAATGGACTATGAAACAACGTGTGAAACTAGGACTATTAGCGGTTTACTGTCGTAAAAGTTTTCGCCGTCGAAGGCAACAATTTTTCGAACTCGAACTAGAGTGTAAATCTATAACTAAACTCAAGGAATCTAAATTGCCTGAACATTAATCACTATCTCATACGTTCAAGCGGCGTTATTTGCGATTTGTACGTGGCTTCCGTAAGAATAGCTCCAAACAGTTCCAGCTTTCCAAGTATTCACCGAATATAGCCACAGAAGCTGTAAAAAATCTGAATTAATCATAGAGGTAGAAACCATAGAAAACGAAGATCAGAATAATATTCGTCATTTGTAATGTACATAATTATAAAATTCTCAAAATTTTAGCCAGTAATCTTGATTGAGCGAGGTAAATCTTTAAGACAACCAATATATAGAGGTATAGATAAGGAAAATATAATCATACCTATTCTTTACCATGGAAATGCTACAATACGCTCTTTGTTTACGTTTCTTGCGTTTGTTCAGATAATATTCCATGATATAATCGATACGGTGTTCAGTTCCGCATCTTTGTACGAGTCTTTTCTCCATATCGTTCCTTACGAGTCATGTGTAACAAAATATTTGCCATCAATTCGTATTCAGCCGGACAAACACTAGAGACGCGGCGGTTGTCAATATGAAACGGTCGGCTACATGAGCATGAGACTGAAGTAACGCTCTAGTAAATAAGACATTCGATTGATATGGAGCTACGATAACTTTGTGACACAATACCTAAATACCTTTAGTAGACAGAATCTCAAGAGACAAATTAACATGATTGATCGGACAGAGATACTTGTATATTGTTACTGATTAATGTATTGGTAATCTTATTTAGGGAGAAAGTCTATTCTCAAATCCAGCCTCAAATCTTCACGTGCAGTTAAAGAACATTAATTAGGCAGCATAGCTTTCAGTAATTTTATGGTACACCGCATGCCATATCATCTCACCAATTTTCATTTGGAGGTAAGTTGTACGTATGCGTACGAATACTACTATATATTACTAACACTATTTTGTGGACTTAATATACTAAATCGTAGTACCAATCGAATGTTATAAACCACTGCAGGTTTCAATCACTTTAATTCTCTAGAGTACTATAGGAATCCCAGATCGAAATATAAAGCTAGCACAAACTGCTAGAATAAATTTACACTATACCTTAGCCCGTCAATAACAATTTGTTACTGTGGAAAAGATTGTCCATTTCAGTACATAACGCAACTGAAAGAGTCATGAATTATAAACATGGAAATAGGTAGGTGCTCATCAGTATAAATAACTTGATAGAACACAACAACTGTTACAATTATTGTTATTAGTCCTGGTACTGTAACAATCACAGAACATAAAGAAGGTAACAATAATATAGAGGTACAGACATCTGAGTACTCGAAATACCTTGACCTTGTAATTCTGGATGATGGTGACAAATGGTGGTGATGGTGGTGGTTCTGGTGGTGATTCTGACATTCCTTGAAAAATTATGTTATTCCTACTGTGAAAGTCAAGTCTAACAAATGTTAGTTGTATTTATTTGACTAATTTGTGTTTTTAACTATAGAGGCACGCGTCATCTCCTCTTTGTGGATGGAATTGGAGTCGGAAGCTCCGGTGCCAGAGCGCTGACGCCGGCGGAGCGAGCAGTACTACCGGCCAGTTTCCCGAGCTCGGAACGAGCGTCGGAAAATGTCCGCAGCCGGAGTACCGCCCGCCGACGATTCTCAGAAGGATTCCCTCTAAACTAACCGACCACTGGACGCAAGGTGAGCGATCTTTTAAATTTTTCTTCATCTAGCAAAAATAACAAGTCAAGCATTGGCTTGGTCCGGCCTAATTTGACGCAAGAGGTTCGAAAATTGATATTAGTCATTATTATCTCGTAGCACGTACCTCATAGCGCGTAGTTCGTAGCGCGTAGCTCGTAGTGCGTAGTTCTTAACGCGTAGAAGCGTTTTTAACTATCAAGCTCGTAGTTGTTGACTAATACAGTGTTAGTCAAAGTGCATAAGTTGACCGTTTCGTTATTTGTTATAATACGGGTTTGAACTTAAAAATCTATTCAATGTTTATTGTCTCTCTGTATGTAAAAATGTTTGTATATGTATGCGCTTCCATGTTGATTTTAATAAAATAAAACTATTAACTTAAAATTCTCACATAGCTACAAAAATGTTACGTTTTCTTTTTAAATATTCCTATTAATCATATTATTATGGCTGCCTGTTTGGGGTACCTGTCAGTAATGACTGATGACTCAAAGTCAGACAGTCTAAGTTTCAACTCACAGGTTCTAATATCAATATTTCTACTCAAATATTAGTGCGTATTTCTGCTTATTTGTCCCTAGTGTTGGTTTTGCATAACAATCGCTGTTTTTTTTATTTAATTAGACATTCGGAATTCAAATAAATAAATATTGAACTTTTGCATTAATTTTAACAAACAAAATAAAGAGAAAAACTTAAAACAGATCTGATGGATGTCGATCAATTAGTACCTACACAATGAGAAGTTTATTCAGAGCTATAATATTTATAGGTAAGTACAGGGATGCGAAAGGACGCTGTCGGTCAAAGGTTCAACATTTATCTGGCCCATTAATGATCAAAGTCCCATAAGTTTGATCATTATACAACATAATGAAGAACATCAATAGGAACGGATGTCGTCACGGTGGCGGAGATTAGCTTCGATCACACCGCTCGATGTGTCTTCAAAGAACATAACTATATCTACTAAAAGTCGAGGCATGCAATTAAATACTTACACAAGCAAAACTTTAAGTCTTATTTCGCTTCAATAATGCCGAAATCCCGGGTACCTACTGAACCAGGACTGCCCGCAGGTCGCTCTGTCCTTGAACTGCTTTTTTGAGGCCAGCGACCGTCTGGTAGCTGCCATTTAGTGCAAAAAAAGAATTCGAATTTTATTTTACACCTAAAAATGACTAAATTTTTGGCTCCAAAACTGCTGAAATGTAAAGTTTTGGCCGCAATCACATTAATTTGCAGGTCCGTCGTAAAATTTCACTTCGTTTTTATTGTTATTGCCAGGAATTATTTAAATAAATTCTGTTAGGTTGGTGTTATATACAGCTTATAAGCAGGTACTATGGATATTGTAAATCGTGACGTTCTAAACATAGATAAAATGAAAACGTGAACTAATCATATCTGATATTCTGCATAAATTTTAAAAATAATACTGTACTTTCCTTTGCAGGTATTGTCTTAACATTTTCATAAAATATGTATCCTTATTTTCTTAAACGTAGTCTATGACTGACAATATTCATGTAGCATAGCATTTTTATTCGTTTCTTCTTCACAATAGAATACCAGTTTATTCATGAGAAAAAGCATACGAACTCCTTCAACTTATAATAAATAAGACAATACTCTTCTGACTGCTCAGTACCTTGTTACTCGACGAAGTACTTACCTACAACGATTTCTTGTGTTTTATTTAATTCAGGGTCTCAAGTATTTGCATGCAACTGAAATATCTGTTGTATCTGTTGCAGAATATACATAAACTAGTCTATACAGTAGATGAAAGTTTATGTATTGAATTTAGTATACTTATGTAGCCTATCTATCTCACAGTCTTTATAAAATTAACGAAATAAAATAAACTTAAGAAAAGATCAATAAAAAGAATGCAAAATTATTAATTTTCCTTAGTTACATCTCCCTCAAGCCATGCCATTTCACTCCAATGGCCACGCGCCCAAGATTATAAAGCTCTTCATAAAAATTCATTGCGTTATCAAATGACTGAGTGTAATATTGTACCTATCTTGGTACCTCTTTTAACTGTACTTTTTTGTATTTTCTACTAAGTACCTATTAATTTTGCTAATACTTGCATTCTAATTTGGGTAAGCTATATTAATTCATCAGTACGTTGAACAGTTTTTTAGTTCTTACTTCATTAGGGTTTTTGCATCAACAAATACTGTGTGTGGCTGCCTCGTTGGCAGAGTAGTCGCAAGTGCGACTGCGGGGCAGGAGGTCTCTAAATCGATTCCCGGGTTGGGCAAAGAATTATAGGGTTTTAAAAAAATTGTCAGTAGTAGCACGGAGTCTGGAAATGTGCCCGGTATATTGTAATAGGTTCACTCCCTATTACATGGGACTTACCATGACATAAATAGTGAATAGTATGTGTAACAATGTACAGTGCTACCTATCCCTTTGGGAATAAAAGGCGAGATGTTATGCTATGTAAATACTTGGTGTCTACGCACACTGTCTTCTGTATTAAGTTTACTGATCCTCACTAGTCCTAAGTGTAGTCTAAGACTGAATACCTATTTTTTGCTATTAGTAATAGCTCTAGTGAGCTTATTGATAAACATTAAACACATAGACATTTTGTAGATTGATATTATACATATTGTTAACTTAAGAACATTGAGGAGCCTCAATAATCACGTATTCAACTTTCTTACTGTGATTATAGCTACGTAATTGCTTGTCTGTGTTAACTAACATTTCTTATTTTGTTACAGATTAACCTCGATCAACATGAAGCTAATTGGCTGTACGCAAGCAGGGTAATGCGAGGCTAATTGAATTTGTTCCAAAAACAAAGCTATTTTATCTGTAGACGTATTCTTAAAGACTTTAGTCGATTGTTGCCAACAAGGTACGCTATCCTAAGCTGAAATTAAACCTTTTATTTGACATGTTTCAAAAATTTTAAAATAAATTTTTAACTTAAAGATTCATGATAAACTTCTCGTAAACTTTTTACGAAAGTAAAGTCTCGTGGCATTGCGTACCTGCAGTCTTAATAAAATACTTACTTTTGGTTGTACTAATTGGATTTAGCCTGGAGGACTCCGTTCCTCAACGTGATTGAACGCATTTACCCGTTTCGTATGAAAATTAGATTCAAAGGCAAATTGTACGATTGAATTACTGAAATGTCATTAGCTGGAATACGATATACTTAAATTATCTTTAAAATGTAATACATAACCATATTAAACATAACCCATTTATCGGAACAAATATAAAATATCATATTTGGATTAATTATCTAAGTATATTAGGAGTGCTGTTTCAATTTTTTCGTAGTTGTTAGTTTGTAATCGGTTATAAGTAGATAGCTACTTTATTTCGATACTTTTGCCGTGTTCCCACCTTTGGTTACATTATATTGCATAGATTAAATACCTTGTTTGGTCATTTTATGTACTTAATAAGTGTTAGAAATTAAACACCTATTTATAGTCACGTGTAACAATATGTGGGCAACCAGCAAAATGGTTAAAAAAGAAGTAATGTTGCTGTATTCAACCTCCCTGTCGTCTGCTATTACATGATTTTTAAATCATCATCACAACGATGTTTCCTTAAATAGAGTATCTCAATTAAAATGTCTCGGGCCAATGTCTGAGATATTTTAATCATGTCATGTAACCCAATAGTTATAATAATAATAATAATAACTTAATTAATTTATTTTTACCATTAAATCAATCATATAATCAAATTAATTCATTAAATTTAATCAAATCTAATTTTGTTTTATTTTGCGATTCATCTAATTAAAATCACATTACTCAACCGATTTCTTCTATTAAATCAATTATATAATTATTTTTATTTCTATTCATGCATCTTCTTCTATTGCGGACCCCCTTAGGGTAAAAGCCTCCCCCAATGAATTCCATCTATCTCTATCCTTCGCAACGTTCATCCAGTCTCTTCCTGCCCCGGATACAACCTCATCCTGCCACCGGGCGCCTGGGCGACCTCTACTTCTCACACCGTGCGGTCCTTTCCATTCTGTGACAGTAATTGTCCATCTATTGTCATCGTATCTCCCAACATGGCCAGCCCATCTCCACTTTTGGCTTTGAGAGAAGCGTAGAGCGTCCTTTACCTTGGTTATTTTACGAATTTTTATGTTTCTTATTCTATCTCTTAGTTTTATATTTAAACAGCTTCTTTCCATTGCCCTTTGAGTTGTTTGTATTTTATGTCTTGCCCTGTGATCATAAATCCACGTTTGGCACCCATAGGTTAGACAGGGTAGGATTATTGTGTCTAAAACTATTCGCTTCACTTTAATTTTTAGTTTCGATTTGAAAATCTCCTTCTCGGCCCAGTATTTTCTCCATGTAATAGCTACTCTCCTGTCTATTTCCTCGATGTTTCGATTTTTTCTAAATGAAATTTGTTTCCCAAGGTAAATATAGGTTTCTACGTACTCAAGTGGCTTTTGGTTAACTAGTACGGGCGTCATCTCGCTGTTTGTCATGACTTTAGTTTTTCCTAGGTTCATTTCCAGGCGTACTTGAGCACTACGTGTCTGAAGTTGGTTAATCATCGTGTCGAGGTTGTGTGAACTTTCAGAAAAAACCACGATGTCGTCTGCAAAGCGTAGATGGCTTAGATATTACCCATTCACATTAATTTATTCCCTGCTTTGACCACGGTAAGTCTTCCATCACATTTTGTAAGACAGCTATAAATAGTTTTGGTGATATAGTGTCGCCTTGTCGGACTCCTCGATTGATGTTGATTCGGGTGCCCACTCTATCTAGTCTGACTCTACTAGTACAATTAAGGTATATGTTTTTGATGACATTTATGTACTTTGCGTTTATATTTTGCTTGTTTTTTTTTAAGGGGGGAAAGTCATCGAATGACTGCTCCCGCCTGGGTGAGGCGGGAGGGAGTGTCAGACTCTTACTGACTAAAACCCACCCCGTTCCTTCTCCTGCACGTCGAGTCGGAGCCCCGGTTACCATTTTGCTTGTTTAATGCTTCTCAGATGCTATTATGAGATATAGTGTCAAAAGCTTTCTTATAGTCGACAAAAGCTATATAGAGTGGTTTTCTGTATTCCATGTATTTTTCGATAACCTGGTCTACGGTGTGAATATGATCTGTTGTGCTAAACCCACTTCTGAATCCCACTTGTTCCATCGGTTGGTAGGAGTCTATTTGTGGAGATATTCTATGCAGTAAACAGGACACAAAGAGCTTGTACACGCAAGACATTAAGCTTATCGGTCGGTAGTTTTCTATGTCTTTAGGGTTGCCCTTTTTATATAATAAAATGATTTCCGACTCTCTCCATTGCCCTGGCACAGTTTCTTCTTCCAGTATTTCTTTGAAGAGTATTGTAAGGGGTCTTAATAAAAGTATTTTACCGATGTTTATACATTCATTACTTAAACTGTCCGGTCCTGGGCTCTTATCTGGTTTTAGATTATTTATTTGGTACAGGATTTCAGTTCCAGTAAAATCTTCCACCGTCGATGAGATCCTTAGTTGATCTTGTTCTGTATTTTCCACTGTGTCCTGTGTACAGCTATAAAGGCTTTCATAGAAGTTTGTAGCTATATTGATGATGTCGCTTCGAGATTTGCAAATTGTGGAGCCTCGCTGAAGAGACGGGATCCATTTTTTTGACTTGTCTAGTTCCTTGTACGCCCTTTTAGCTGATCTTGTACTTTCTATGCACTTTTCCAGTATGTGCAGTCTGTGGATTTCGTAACATTTTCTGATTTCGTTATTTGTTTCTTTATATAACTCTTTTAATTCTTCCTTATCCTTTTTAGTAAGATTTATTTTATTTTGCAGAGTGCTTCTTTTTTTCATTAATTGAATTGCGTTATCTGAGGGAATTTTTCTGTTATTTGGCTTTTTTTGATTTCTAGGGCCTGTTAATATGGAGCTTTCTATTTTCTTATAATATTCAGCGGCTGTATATTCTTCTTGGTTTTCTAATAGTTTAGGTATAAGTTCGTTTAAGGTTTTTCAAATACCTGTCACTGAGGATGAGGTATCCTCAGTTTTTAATGGGTTTCTGGGACAAGTGTAATTTCTTCTGCTTTATCTCTACCTAAGGTTAATGTTGCTCGCAGGAGTCTATGATCAGAGCCAAAGAAGAAAGAATTCAATACTTCAAATTTTGTGAACAATTTAGGTTTTGTTGTTGTTATATAATCAATTTCTTTTTTAGTATTTTTGTCGGGTGAAATCCAGGTCCATCGTTGGTTAACTTTTAATGAGGTATACATTGTATTGATGATTTTCAGATTATGTTGGTATGCGTACTGAACCAAACGTTCTCCTCTCTTGCTTCTGTTTCCAAAACCGTGAATGCCCGCTATTCCGCTCTCATAGTGCTTCGGTTTGCCGATCTGTACATTAAAATCGCCCATGACTATTATATTGAGTAGAGATCGAATCACGAGCCTCTTCTAAGTCTGCGTAGAATCTATCCAAGTCTTCTTGGGTTGAGCCTTCTGTTGGCGCGTATGCCTGTATAATTGCGAAGTGCAAGCTCTCTAGGTTTATTTCCAACATGCAAACTCTTTCAGATATTCCGGAAAAGTTTATGGTGTTTTCTTTGTACTCCCTTTTGATAAGGAAACCAACGCCATACAGGCCTTTTGTTTGTCCTATGTAGTACATAATATAGTTTTCGTCTTCTATTATATTTTCACCTAACCGGCGCACCTCGCACAAACCGAGGATATCGTGTTTTATATTTTTAAGAGCTGTCTTCAGTTCTAATAATTTTTCAGGTGTTGATAACAATCTGACATTTAGGGTACAAATATTTACCGAAATTTGGTTTTCTGAATGATTATTCTTTGGGGGGTTGTGGTCTAACAATCCCGCGGTGTCCAGCCGTGGTGGGAGGTGGGTGTGGAGTAGGGGGCCCGTTTGCTGTTGCTATGCTAAATTGGTATCTGATGTTTGTGTTTGTTTTTGTGGGCTATTGGTCTGATTGTAGATCAGTTTCGGTTTTTGAATCATATAATCTCTCATATTGGAAGCTCTATTTTTCTTCAGTGGTTGTCTGTTATTGCTTTGTTGACTTTTTTGGTTATCGGAATTCGGTAATATCTCCGGGGATTCGGACAGATTTCTCTTGCTCATTGGCTGGCGATAGTTGCTCTTATTATTAGTCAACACTATAAGTTTATCATATTTTATGAAAGCGGTATTGCCTGCTTCTTTTTCTTTTTGTAACTCAGCTTGTAATTCCTTGCGCTTATTCAGGACTTCTATGGGGTAGTCCTCCTTTACATAGTATAGCGTATTCTGCAGACATGTCTTGTTTTTCAAAACCTTTAGTTTAAAGCCTAATGTAGCAATATGTTATTACAATTGGTCTGACTTTTTCACCTTTTTTTCCTAGTCTTCTGATTGCTTCGATATGAGATCGATCATATGGGAGTTTGAAGTACCTACTTGTTTAGTATATCAATCAATGTATCCTCTAATTCATGGTAGGATTTCTCGCATTCTTCCACCCCAAACATGACCAAATTTTTGCATCTAGCCTGTCTATCTAATTTGTTTGTTTATATTTATTTATAACCCAATGGTTACCGATGATTTAAAAGATGATGTCGACATGGAGAGGGAGAGAGCATTGTCAGTTCGGGCGAATATATTCGCACGCAAATTCTCTCGTTGTACAGACGCAGGTAAATTAACTTTGTTCAAGGCGTATTGCACCTCACTGTACACGGGGAGTCTGTGGGTTAACTACACCCAGAGAGCGTACAATGCTCTGCGGATCCAGTATAATAATGCGTTCAGGGCACTGTTGCGGCTTCCACGTTTCCGTAGTGCGTCAGCAATGTTCGCTGATGCTCATACCGCTGCTTTATGGCGCAAAAAGACTGCATCGCTCATCAGTCGCCTGTGTGGAAGTCGCCACAGTATCCTGACTACAGCCGGTAGACATGACTGTCCATTGATGTGGAAATTAGTGCAGCGGACTAAGTCCCTGTTTACTATTGCTTATTAATATTGTACCTAAATAGTTATATAGTTATGTATGATTGTGTCCTTTACTATTAGTTTGATGGATCTCAGTTATCTGAATAAATAAACTATTATAACTTTTTTTACCATTCACAACATACCACGACTGACGTAGCTGGATTTGGACATAGAACAATTGATATCCCAGATGTGTCACTTGTTAGTTGTCATATGAGAGTAAGATGGAATAAATCTTACGTGCCAATACATAAGGCACACTCTTACATTAGGTCCCTTTATATCTAAGACTGGTGCCCGAAACCTATCATTCTACTTTGAGACGATCTGATTACTTACGTATGAGGAAATCACTTAAGTGTAACAATGGACTACATTTTTTGCACGTGACTAAACGTTGTTCTGACAAACATTGCCTCGACTCGTGTGAGGTATATTTACCAACCTGATTGAGGCAATTTGTAGCAGTTAACGTTTTATAGATAAATAGTTATTTAAATTTATCTGTTGTGTTCATTGTTGTTGTGTTATTGAAATATTAAGTTATGTTACCGCAAGTAAAGTATTTATCTAATATAGTTAAGCATAATATCTTCAAGTAGGTATTTAATATTATATTAGTGAACTATGAAATAAACTGATTAGATATAAAAGTATAATATTTAGGAGTGTTCGTAAGAGAAATATTCGAGACTTGACTCAAAATTTTATGAATTTGTAAATTTTCGTAAACTTGGCTTCGACTTAGCCTTGACTGCGACCTTTTTTACAAAATTGGGGACGTCCCATTAAAAATTTTATAGCTTCACAAGTATTATTTAACTTTGACATTTTAATTGGTTATCCTGTCACTTTTCGTTGGTACTAAGTACTTTGTAAAATTCGGATATTCATCTATTAAATGGCGAATAGGTACTCTTCTACCACTCTTGAATACCATAGACAGTTCGATGTTTGAATATTACATAACATGTAATCCCATATAATAAAAAACATACGTTACATAAATATTTAACTTACATATGTAATACGTGTGTATCCATAAATAAATAAAAATCAAAAAAAAATGTAGCACATTAGCAAAAGAATGTAAAGGCGAACGAGGCTTGTCAGCCATTCAGAAAGACGAACAGTTAATGCTGGATAGTAAGTAGCACATTACATAATAGAACTTTAAAATATTTGTTCAATATTTTGCTGAAATAAATGTCTCCACAGAACCGTGTTTTTTATTCATCTCCTTAGTTAACTACCCAATAGATAACATTTGATATGTAGAAATTAGTTACCTACAAAAGAACTGGATTTCTACATACCTCAAAAGTATAACGAAATAAATTGAATAGCTCATCGCAGCCTTTTTTTCAATGGGGCAACCCTCCCAAAACCGCTGCAACTCCTGTAAGTCAGGATCTACATTAGATACAACCATGAAAACACCGGAACACTGAAGTCCAACGCGTCCCAGGGACATGAGTAACTGTCTTGGGTCCCGCAACGAAGTGAATCAGAAGATATTATAAGAGAAGAGGAAAAAAAACGATAGTTTCCACTTCCCTCGGTAAATTACTGCAGGAGACAGAATGGATTTAGCCTAAAGGCACAAAAAAGAGACTGTAGGTAAAACTGGCAGAAGCCCAGTCGCACCATGGAAATTTAACTAAGAACTAAGTGGGTCCTATGTGTGAGCTAGCAGCTACTTGCTTCCAATAATAGGTGTGGCAAAAGCGCCTAAACGCACGGAAATTAGTTCTAGGTTCCACAAGGTCCATATAATAAGCTACACTTGACGACCCAATTAAATTATTTAAAGTGTTACGTTCATATTGCAAGAGATCACACTCCCAGAGTATGTGATTGTAGAATACAGATGTATGTATTGTATGTAAAAAATGAAAGCAATTTTTACGACGCGTTTTACGCCCGCGGCGGTGACGATTGTTTGTGGCTCTCACTGCCATGCAGCGGGATGCACCCGCGATCGGTTGACGGGCGGTCGCAATGGGACGGCCTGTCTGGAACTCAAGTGATTGTTAAACCTTTTGAACGCCAGAGTAAAAACACATGAAACTGCCTTCAATGCCTACCCACAAATTCCGCACAAATTTCTACAAAAGAAATAGGGATTCCAATAGGGCATCAAATTGTTGATTTCGTATTACCTACCGGTTCCGCTTTTTCTATAATGTATTTGTGTCGTTAGCTCTCAAAAGGTTAATTAACCGCCGGCGCCCGCCCTTTTTGCGATAATCTACCGCCAAGTTTGCGGGCGATAGTCGCAACCGCGGCCTCTATGGGATCGCAGAAAACTGCGGTCTCTTGAGTTTTGTAAATTTCGCCTCCATTCCGCCATAGCCGCGGGCGCGGGAGAAGATCGCGCCGTGAGCTAGTTTAAACGTTGTGAATAGAATTCGAGGTGTGAATAGATACGGCAATGGGTGAATAGATATTATTTCTTTATATTTATTCACCCCTCTTCGATCTTTACTTACCCTACGCATTATATTCAACACGTTTTATCTGGTAATTACGTCTGGCACAAATATTTAGTACCAGAGTCCAGAGTTATAAGTATACAGGTACACAAATGCAATAATTATTCTTTATCGTCAGTCTGTAATTATCCTACAGCTAGTTTTTCTTTTTTTAATGCGTTGCCCCACACTAGGATATTTTCTTGTGTTGTGGGTGCGTTTACAATCATAAAATATCACTTATACTTGACACCCAGACCCGAAACAACAAATTGTGGATCACATGGGGTTGCTCCGGGCAGGAATCGAAACCGCTGTACGATGCGCGGCAGCCGGTTACCAGCTACCGCGCCAATCGTGCAGTCGCTGTCACCAACTGCTGAGGAAAGGCTGGAGGTTCTCACATGGAAGAGGAATAAGCACGAGTTCCTAATAGCAAGGTTTGATAATTCAGTGGTTTTATAAGTGACCTAGGTTGCAGTCAACCTAGGTTACTTATTTGATACCTAGATCAGTCTTCAAATATGTACAGCGGATGTTAAGAGCTCTAAAATTGGGTTACTTTTTAGCTAAGACCATTATTTTTTAGATCTAGGTTCTTACACAAAGAAATCAAACGACATGTTGTAAATAATGTGATTATATTCTTAAATAATAAATGGATACACATGTTAAAGAAATTCGGTTTAACAAAGATCATTATTATAATTTTTAACATTTCGATGGTTTAGTTTTGAGACAATTTCTGTTATGGACTCATTAAATGATAATAATAATAACTTTTTCAATAGACAAAAATATAAATATATCATAATATTTAATCTTAATAAAATTCTTACAAGTGCGTACACCGACTTTAAATACTAGGCACGCGACGAAAATTAACTTAGTGGTGAAACTAGAATATGAAAATAAAATATAAATGATTGTTGTTCAGTTACGAGCAGCATCGAAAGTCAACCAAAAAGCACAAGTACAATTATACAGCAAAACCCGTAACGAATATCACGTGAACATTCGGCCTGAAGGTTTTGAGCTAAAGTCATGAATTACATACTTTATACACCGCTCGTATCTGAACAAACAACGTAACCATTATATCGTAAAAGAAAATGTTCACTTCGTATTAATCACTTGTGTGATCAATAGTAACAATGAATTAATAAATAATCGCGCGCATATTAGGGTGCGTCCACCACACCATATGACGAAAGCACAGCACGCGAGCCGCCCGCTAACTTCGCGGGTCCAGTCGCAGCAATGGTTTTAGTGCTTAACTCATACAGCTTGCGGGCGGCGCATTCGCATAGTTGGACGCACCCTTACACAAAAAAAAATAACATCCGATTACAAGAATAAATATCAAACACTACTTAATGTAAGTACTTGTTTGACAAGGTTATAATAAGCTATGCAAATAATTTTAATATGAGCTTTACAAACCAATGATATAAAATTTGTGCAATGTCATACACAATTAAATTGCATTTAAATTTTATTAACATTATATTAAGTAACATTATAATCTTTAAGATTTTATTTTAAATATTAATACAATTAATAAATCATTAATTTACAAAATTGCTGTCCGTGTTTCACTGGAAGAATACCAAATAAAATGGTATATAAATATTAAAACACATATTTCCGTAGTCCATTTTAATAAAAACCAATTATATGTCGAAAATCCCCTGTCTAATTATTATTATGTATTATATTTATCAGTGCTACGGTGAACGGTTTGCACACTTATGGAATTGTAAATACTGTCAATATCTTTGGAGTTTCTTACTTGTTTTTCTCCAAAGACTGCAGAAGTAACTAGCGTCACTAATATCGACAGACAGACTTATTTTTCTCAAGGAAGTAAATAATTTGACTGAGTCTGGATGGCATTGTTCAATGAATATATTGTCTTAACTCTACTTTCTTAAAGTAATCGACAAATCTGCCTGTGTTGTAAAGATTTTTCCGAAGTACTATTGCCGTGTCACCGTACATAAATAAGTCATGTTCTATTGTGAACTAGAATTATGTGATATATTTGAAGATCAGTACATTAGTGGGCTTTACGTAGCTACTGTGTAAACCTAGGGTTGTTGTGACAAAACAAATTACTACCTACTTGTGACTACGTAATCTACGCTTACTGAATAGACGACTGCGCCTCGTCCACGAAACAAATTAACATTAAGTATAGAAGTTTTTGCTTAGCGCTATATCGGTGCTGTGGACAAATCATTTAGTTTAAAGCTTAGTAAAATAATGAGATTAGAATGCCTTCTTACAGCACATCACTATTAACAGTAAGCGCTGTAAACGTCAAAAACATCAGTTACTAATGAATCGCTTGTCTAGTACAGCTATTTTACTAAACTTAGATTCTATTTTTTAAACTTAAGGGCAAACATCGACATTTAGATGAATGTTAATACAAATAAGAGCCATTTGACATTACACATAATGATAAAATAAAGAAAGGCTGATCGTAATGATTTTATATCTGAAATAGTTTCAAATATTCTCATATTTTAACTAGACCTGCCTTTCAGCACACTGATATTAGGCCCACAATAACACCATTTTTTATTTTACATAATTACAATTAATTTCCTCTCATTGGAGGTTAAACATCTCAATTATTCATAACTACATATTAACCACAAGGGGTGTTAAATTTCATATTAATATGCAATTGAAAAGTTCAGAGGTATGTAAGCAAAATACTCGCTATACAGTCGCGATAAAAGCGAATTCAGATTGTCGCATACAGGCATCATTTAAGGTGCAATGCATAGGCGATATTTAGTAAACGTCGTAAATTGGTGCTTTTATTTTTGTTCGTATCGTACCGCCCAGTCGGTCGAAGTTCGATATTGTCGTATAAATTGTACCTTCATGTAAATACTTCCACGATTAATTCCTGTACTTTTGTTACATAGATACAGATTCTACCAAATTCACCGTGTTTTGTTTTTTTGTTAATCCTATGTAATAACTATTATCTATTTATTGTTCTATTTCTTTTTAAATGATTGTAAGGCAAAGCTGTTGGGTGAGGCACGGTGAATGTAGTGGAATCGTGGAGATTACGTGTCATGTAGGATATTGATGACGTCAATACGTTGCTCGAGCTTTTGCTCTTGTCCTAGCCGGTGGGACTCGGTACGATGTAGGCTAAACGGGGGGTATAGTCCACAGCACGGCGGTCTTATCAGCTGAAGTTGATAGGAACGAGAAATCGTCAGGATGCCACCGGGCGGATATCACTTTGTCGGGGTGTCTGGCCACGGGGACACTCGGCAGGGCGCAAGTCAGGTCACCTGAATAAAAAATAGCATAGTTTTATTAAGCTTTTTAAACATATTGAGTTGAACTACGGAAAAGATACAGACCGTATCTTCCATGGCAAGATAATATTATTCTATGGACTTACCCTGGAGGTCAGTCAAAACGACGCGTCCATCATAGCCGGCTGTGAGCAGATAGTAGGCGCCGGGTGAGAAGCGAACGCTGCGCAAGTCGCCTGAGTGGGGCGTGAAGCGCTGCAGTGCTCGGGAGCCGCGCACGTCATGCAGTGCGCACGAACCGTCGTCATGACCGCAAACCAACAGCCGGCCGCTTGGGTCTACCGCTAGCGATGCCACTGCCGATCCCTAGTACAAAAAAATATTCTTTTACTAATAAAATACAGTCACGTAAATTAAAAAGGCTTCGGTTCTATAAGTAGGTAGTAGTAGTAACTATAAAGGGCCTGTAGGATTCAACACAAAATTTTAAAAAACGCACACGTTCAATTAATGCTAGATTAAAAAGTGGATGGAAAGATATACATTACGGCTTGCCAAAATACTAAAGATACCACTTTTCATAGTGAATTTTATTACAGGAGAAATTGACGTGTTTTATAATTAACCGTGATAGTGAAAAAGATAGAAGACATATAAACATAAAAATCTTTAGAACTAGAAAACAATGTAGAAATCAATTGTGAGTTATAGACTGAATATTAACTATCGATAAATTATGTTTATTAAATGAACATAATTTATTAAAAGGACTTGAGGAATACAAACAAACATAGACAAAGATTAGCTTATCTGCTAGCTAGCCCCTTGGATAGATGCCTGTGATAAGATCTATGTAAGTGGAACGTGACCACATAACAATACAAGCTTGATTTAAAAAGCAACAAACATCTGTTAGCAATATCGAATGACGCTACCCTATAAGGTTACAAAACCAAACGATGTATAAGAGAAAACTATTATATGATTAATGATCTATAACGTTGTTGAACAATGGACATTAATAAGCTGGGCGAGCAATAAACTACTTTTATTAAACATTGTTTTTCCATCCCACATAACTTTTGTTGTACAGATGCCTGTAGTATTTTAGTAGTTTGTTTAACGTAATCTAGTATAGTAGTAGTAATCGAAACGAGATCGCTTTCGTCCCTCTGATTGGCCGGCTTCAATGAACCAACCAATCAGAGCGGTTTCGTTTCGATACGTAACGTAAAAAACTCGTACTGGGGCCTCGGGTTACTAAATGTTAAATACCAGTATAAGTAAATAATTAGAACGTACTAATGATTTGCATTGTTAATCGTAAAAGTGGCAATTTTTTATTCAAATAGCGCCGATGACACGGAACTTGTTAATAGCTTGAATAAATAATGAGGAAGATTGCATCAACATAATTATGTATGTATGTACATAAGTATATACAAGCCTAAATTGAAGTCTTACAATGGTGCAAGAACGCACGGCAGTAGGATAATATTGAATTATTTTAGAGGACGAGTCCTGATTATCTCATGTACCTATGATGTACCTCACAGATGTATGAAATGTTACCTTACTGTGTAACATCGAGCCACACTTTAATTCAGTAAAAACTATAAGTACTATTAATCAGTTTAAACTTTCTAAAGGTATCAATTGGAAAGAGTATAGTTAACTGGCGCACAATTTTCCACCGCCATTAAAAGGGGTGTCAGGTAATTACTGTCAGGTAGCAATTAGAGTATCACTTATTGCGATTTCACGTAACAAGGCAAGGAAGGAAAACAGAAAGAAATTGATGTGCTTAGACTGAACCCTACTGCTGTTAACAGTCCATAATTGCTTCTATTTTAAAATTCACTAAGTCGATCGTTAGTATGGTATCCGTAATTTCAAATTTTTAAAGTGTATATTAGATGTAAGTATACTGCAACGGCAAAAGAAAAATTCTGTTATTAGAGTTAGTAATCACACAAAGTGAAAGAGCATGTAACATAAAGAAACAATTTTAAATTAAAATACGTACCTTGTTAGGCTGTCCCGCCGGAGGCGAAATAACGTTGACGCAGCCGCCCGTGCGCAGGTCCCAGAAACGCACAGTCTTATCTTGACTGCCCGAGACAAACATGGCGCCGCCCCAGTTGTACAGGGACAGTATATGTCCAGAGTGTCCGCTTAACGCCTGAACGTAACAAAAATGATCATTACAAATACCGATCACTCTGTATAAATCCCTGAACCGAATCAAATGTACCGTTGAAAATGGAATTGATTTAATATACTTAGACCCCGAGGTAGACGGGCGATTTCTCTCGAATCGTGCTTCAGTTGATGTTTATAGCGCCATAAAATGTTTTATTTAAATCGAAATATGAGGGACTCGATCCCCGGAGGAAAAACAACATGATAGAACTTTGGTTTTACACTGCATATTAACAAGTTTGAAATACATAAAAGCACGATAAATTGGTAAAGAATAGAAGGTGCTAAAACAATAGAGTTTATGGAAAACACGACGGTGGGATTAAAAGGAATGTTCAACGAGGCTGGTAATGAGTCCCAGCTCGATCGTTCACTGGTTGCGGCGAACCTTGCCGGGTAAAACCACAAATCGCGTGCGTAATGATATTCGCAGCGGATAAGGTAAGCCTTATGTGTCCTCACTTATACATGAGGTACTCTAATCACAAACGTAAACACAAACACGTGCTAGCTGCATATTCGTATCAATTTAGCGGTTAGCACAGCGTACATGACATGTTTTGCTCAAAATTATTAGATGGAACCGGTGTTGGTTTATTGCATCTTGTCGATAATTGGAACTAGGTAAGTACTTGATATTTATGAAAAACTATGCTATTTTTCTTAAATTAGCAGTTTGCTTTAGTCAGTGCAGATACAGGTGTGTGTATGCTTCTGTAGATGGACAAAAACAAAATTACGTCTTACTAGTGACCATGATTGAACAGACAGAAAACTAAATATATTGGCATTATAATCAATATGTATAAGCATCTGCTGAAGCCATCATCATCAGACGAAGACAACATAAAACCGAAGTAGTAATAAACAGTAATAGATTGAAAGTTTCTACGATGAATGAACGTTGAGACGTGGATAGATACTCAAGCAATATACATATAATTTATATTACCTGGAAAGTTTTGCCTGTAGCGCAGTCAGTGACGTAAATCTTACAGTCGCCAGCGCCGCCGCTGACCAACAGACTGGTCTTGTTTGACGTGTCTTCGATGAAGCAGACGTCACGGACGGTACCGTCGTGCATCGTCAGCTCAACCTGGCAACAACAAATAAATCCGTGATACACTAATCTAATGCAGTAAAGGTACAACAATTTCTTTCTCTGTCTGGTCTTAACTCTTTGAGTACCGTCATTATAGACACAATTAAAGAACAATAGGTTGCGGTCACCGGTGTCTTCGCGGTGTTTGACAGTTTAATTAGTCGTTGATTTTTGCCAATTAATTATAGTATTAACATTTGAAACATTAGTTAACAACTTCTAACGTTAAATACTCCTATTAGATAGAAAATTATTTGGGTGGTTCTTAGAAGACTTCTTTTCGAAGACTTCTTTCAACTACTCGACAAGTTACACTGACCTATAATCCAGTTCGAAGATTGATCAATCTCCCCTATTTATCAAAGTTTGATTGATTATGATTTTTTGTCATGACGATACATTCATATTCCTTCTAGTGCCACTAGTAATTTGATCGTCGCGGTGATATTAGTTATTTACTTATATAAAACTTATTTGATTTTACTTATTTCGTATCCTATTTTAGTTTTATTGTGATGGAAAATAAATGATATGACTTCTCTAGGAGTAGAGAATTCTATTGTTCCAACTAAAAGACAAGGATTTCATGTCGAGAATATGAATATTATTGTACCTACCTTCTTCAACAAAAATGAAAACAAATATTAATTAAGAGAGCTGTTTGCTCAGGAGCTGCAAATATTATAATTAATTAAAGCGTGGACAAAATGACAATAGGAAAGAGGTAGATAAACATTGTACAGGGGACTTTTAATATCAAAAACGAGCACTTGGACTCAAACTTTGTCATTACTAGAAAATATATTTTATTATATTCTATTTTCTTGAGAAAATACTTATCCAGCTATACAATAATCAAGTCTACTTAATATCTTGCTCTGTACGCTTAGACAATATAATATTTTAAAATTAACATGCAAAATATACAACGATCAAATCAATGCATACTGTCGGCTGGTGCAATTTTTGCCTAATTAAATACAGAAGAATGAGTTACTATGAAGTTAATCGACAATGATTAATTTTGCACAAGCAATATTCTGAAATCCCAAGTAAGTACCTATATAGAAAATATAACGTCCGAAACATAACATATCTAAATAAAGTTTCCGAATTGAATCGTGTGTCGGTTGTTGTGGGAATGGGGAAGTGAGATCCGACTGACAACCACGAACACATTCTAGTAAAACTATTTCAAAGCTGTATGTGCGCCCAGGTTTTAAAGCAGAAGGAATGTTTAATCATACAATATATGTGTATGTGTATAGTCGTAGTCTTATATAGGACCCGAACTGAACTGAAGTCATCTGAATAGACCCGACACACCAAATGCTTCGTAGAAATTTTATTTTAATTCATAAAACCAAATATTAAAGTTATTACGTATCTGGATTAAATAATAAATACTTTCAATATTACATCATTCCACAGTTTGAACCGTTTCATATAAAAATTAATAAACATATCATTTATCGATCAGATAACCAATCATTACGGAAAAGATAACATATTTACTATACCCGGTTTCATAAAATAGACTGATTATGACATTGCCTATTTACTACATATCTAAAGAACTACTCAGAAACAAGAACACATTTTCCCAATGATATCAGACTGAATTAAACTTGTAATTCGAGATAAAATAAAACATTTAGATTTCGTTGAAGCATTTCAATGTCAACATAGTATTCTTCAATCTTGAAATTCGACATCCTAATTGGTTGCTATCTCATTTTTCATCCTATCAAATTCCATTTGTTCCCAATGAAATTTAGAAATGTTTACTGAGTTTAAAATAGCGAATAATAATCTTTATGAAGATTTAGAACACGTAAGAACTAACAAAGAATATTAACCGCATACCTTTGTATGATAGTTATAACAGTGCGTTATACTTAAACTAGAGACTAACAGCTTCAAGCGAGCTGTTTACAAGCTCGTGCCACATATGAATGTGATTAATCGAGATTGACAATCGTTACGAGGACGCTGATGTTGCAAATCGAAGCGGTAACGTTTCAAATAAATTGCATTTGCACCATTAACGCTTCAACTCATACGACATTGACTGACAGTTACTAGAAGCTCTTACTATTCGATTCGAGAGTCATAAGTTGTTACTATCGATTCCATCATTCATCTTCGTAGAACGAGAAATGAGAACAAAGAAACAATGTAAGGCATAAGATCCACAGAATAAATACTGTGGTTGTGTTTGATTGATGTAAACAGCTGGAACTATTATTCATAAGCATCTAGTATATGAACTAATATAGAATCTCACAAAGGTAATTTACACAGAAGTCTCGTTCGTTGATACTACCTACGCGATGTTGCATTTACCAACATTAACAAAGAACAAAATTGAAAGATTTACACAATCAGTGTTCTATGCTTCTAGTCATAGTACCAAATAATTTTATATATAACCCCCACTTATATTTTGCGAGTCTCGTGACTAATAAATAGCGTACCTAGAACATTCAATTTCGGCAAGACTTCTAGAAGTAAGTAGATGAAACTTGGGGCATACTTCAGGACTTTGATACACGTACTTACTAGATTACATGACGTAACATTTACGCGGAGAGCACTTATTTGCCGTTCATATGAGTTCTTAATATCGTGTTTGCAAAATATACATCAAGATGAAAGCTATTTCAGCTTAGTACTTATCTATCTATAAGAATACTTTCGGTAAGATTCGATGTCGATAGAATAAACAAAGTTTGACGAAGATATTTATAGTAGACAGACTAAGTACACCCCCACCCGCCTATTTGACAGCCTTATTTGAGACGTCGGAATCTAAGAACATTAGTACCTAGATATACGTAACATCATCGCACACCTAACAAGGCACGGCTCCGGCACGGCTCCAACCCAGTAATGTCATTGTCATTTCAATATGAACTTTAAAACGTATGCTGTATGAAATATTTCATAAGGTTAATATAATTAACCTTTTTGTATTGTTTCCATAGCAAAAACCGTGTGCAATGACTTTTAATCTTCACGTTCTTAAAAATGAATTTAATCCATCTGCGTACCCATCATCGGTCTGATTAAGCTAGCTAATAATAAGGACTTAAATTAATTCGGTACGTATTTTAGTAATTAGGAAAATAAACATCTACGTAAAGTAATCACAAAATGTCTATAAATACGGTATCTGTCATGTATTTACTCATTTGCCACAACATACGTAATTATTTACATAGAACAATCTAGTCAGGCTTGATTTCTTGCGAAGTGATTCACCTCGGAACTGGCAGCTCGTCTACATTACTATGATAGATAATACCGACGAAGTTAACTAATTGAAAACTAAAAACAATTGTATCATCTTTCAATTCGCCGACCATTATCACTGAATCAGCAAAACAACCTGATAACATTTGAACTGAGACATCATGATTTATAGAGCGAATGTCCTAATTGCTCAAATAAGTTAATTATTCGATATAATATTTTGCTTAAGGAACGTTACTTTTTGTATGGTACCATTTCAGTTGCTTTGCATTATATGGTGGACAAGGTGATTATACGCAACAGTATAGCATTTATACTTAAACACTAAGTATTCGTGTAACACCTAAAAGCCGGATACCAAATCACTACATACCAATTTCATAAGCTACCAAATTATTACAAAATAAGTTTAACGTTCATTTCTTTATGTAGCATAGTATATAAACCTTATATAAAGACATTCCTTTTTGAAAGACTATCTTAGTGACACTTTCAAAGGGCGTCTGATGATTGGAAGGGTAAGAGCATTATGACGTCAGATCTTTACTCTACCTACTACTTCACGTGGAAAGGAAAAATGACGATATCGTTCCGAAATATTACGGTTCAGAGGTACAAATATCGACGGATCTCGTGAAGACGAAGAACTATTTCTATGAACGTGTATTTTTCTTCATAGCAGTACTTTCTATAACAAGAAATGAAATCGCCAGCTGTCAGCAATATCTTGATTTCATTCAAATATACCTCTTAGGTATTATTTATAACAGCTGTTGGAACGTTTAACTTAAGTAAATATTTAAAACCTTCTCGCGTTTGACGAGCTATAATAATATTTTTAAATTCAGCAATTAATAAAATTTCGGAAAAGCCGTACAATTCTTAAGTAACATTTGGGTTACATAAATATTTTAGATTGATTACATCTCGTCTAGGTAAACCTCCAGTTTGGTTGATTACATTTTTTATAATAAGATGGTCAAGATCAAGACTTACCTCCTGTCCTTCCAAATTGCATGCATGGCTGTTGAACCTCATCAGTTTGACAGTCTTGTCGTTGGAGCCTGTAGCGAGCAGATCGCCAGCTGGACTCCATGCTAGGCAGTAAATGCTCCCCTTGTGGTGTTTGGTGCGCTTCAGTAACACTGTTGGTGCAGATGGAGTGCTAGTGTCCCTGCAGACAAGGAATTCTATTAGTAGAATCTATTCGAGTGACGACACGTAAATAGATACGTCTTGTGTACTCTTGGGGTTCGACCTAAATACTACCCTCTCCATTTCCCAACCTCTGCACATCACGATATGTATTTATATGAAAATCTTGCTATTTATAACTGGAGACAGGCAGACTTATCTTGCTAACTAATATATCGACGAATTAGAAAAATTAAATGTCACTACATTACGTAACCGTAATCTAGGAACCTTTTTCTATTTCAATTGTACCGTCCTGACCTCTTGTTTATACGTTCAACTTCACTAATGAAGCAGAATGCAATTAAAACGGATCGCAAATAAACATAACTTGTTTGTGAATGCTATACTATAGTTTTCATTGTGGAACCACTACAGACGAATGCTATCAATAACAGTTTTAATTAATTTAATTCTGGTATAAGCGTTACATATTTATCGATATTAATTTTACGCCATAACCGGTCGATTCAATGTGAGAGTTCAACTTTCACATAATATTAGAGAGATATTCCCATATTTCATTTACGTAGTTCTGTGATCATCGTTTTAAATAGATTTATTAGTGTTTGCATATATTATGATATTGCATATATATATACAAAGGTGAGACTTTGTCGCTAAACTGTTTATGTTTATTACGTGCAACCATTGACTCAACAAGTATAATAAATACTGTACGAAATTAAATACTTTTATAGTAAGGCACACACGTTTCTAACATTATATGCCTAACAGTTATGTTCGTTAAGTGTCGTTGTTTAAACCTGTATAGAGGTAGGAAGGAATGTGTCAATACAGAAAATCATTGCCATTCTCAAGCAAGAAATAATACAAAAAGTTTGCTTATCGTCTTCTATACTTTATAGTTTACATATACCTAACCTAATATGCAAATCATCGTGTATCAATCATGACAATATTCTCTCTCTCTCCATTCTCTCGTACTTAGTTTCTGTGACAAATGTTTGTCAGGGAATGTCAAATGTCGTAGTAGCCCGGAGGTTTAAGATACTCGCTTTTTGTATTCGAAATCTATCTACAGTAAGTACCAATTGCAATGTGACGTTTTCCGAGTTATATGTACTTTCTAATATTATTTGGACACCACTGACAAACGGTTATGGAAAACATCGTAAGGATATCTGGATCTATAATTATAAGTTTGAAATCGCATACCCGCATTGAGCATGCGTGGTAATAAATGCTGAAACCTTCTCCGTGTGAGAAGAGGCTTTGCTCAGCAGTGGGCATTTATAGGCTGTTAATGATGAAGATGTTTATCAGGGCTACCTACAAACAGGCGTGTATAGTACAGTGTACTATTTCCAAATGAGAATCAATTTGCAAAACGCTTTTAAGCAATCTAGCTGATAGCTTACTGTGTGTGCAATGTGTGCAATTGTGCACATATAAATTTATGGAATCTTTATAAAACTTAACAGTGTTAGGTCTGATTGATCTAATAATGGCGAAACAAGAAAATACGACGTTATTAATGTTAAGCCATCAAATGTTCTAATTGTACTCGCAATTAATTTACAACAAAGAAATTAAATACACTTGTAGTTGTAGCAGTCACGGTATACATCTGCTTTTTACAAAAACACATATCCAATCAATGAATTCCGAAATACTTATTCTTAGTCATATCATACAAGTACATTCTTTATAATACTGTTAATATCAGCAACATGTGGACTCATTAGAGCGATCTGTGTAATTACAGCGACTGTGAACTAAATACCGTCGCAAAGTTTCCACACACAGGCCGGACCTTATTTCATAAAGTACAATATAACGTCATTGTTATTATAATACGCCAAGCGAGAAACAAAAGCTGTTATTATCAACCATTGTATCGCGGGTAAAACGATCACTGGCACTTTTTGTCACACCTATAAAAGAACATTATAGGTATATCCATCACAGCAGCAATCAAGTGTAGTGATGGGCACCCACCTATATATATATATATATATAACATAATTGCGTTATTTATAAAAACGTTGAACGATTAAGGCAGGTATTATGAACTCACCTTTTATCAGATATTTTTAAAACGACCTTGCTTTTATAATATGGATATTTCATTTCTTTTAATATCGGAATCACATATTACACTGATGGGATTATCATTCACGTAGAACACTTACAAACAGAGGCCACGTTACAGAAATCACGCCAAAAATATTTGAATTGAGTTATTTTAATGGCACTTTCACTGATAGCGACTCGAAACACAAAGTATGAATCAAGATAATAGAGCATAAAACTTAAGTTCTGCCAATGTTTGAAGGTTGTTTTGTATATTTATGAGAGGTGGCAATCACACACTCATATATTGGTAATATGTGCCCTATATTTGCTATGTCACGGTTTTTAATGGCCATTTCCAAATTTGCAACAGACGACGGAATGCTCATGACAGTCAAGTAAGCATTATTGTAAGTGAGACGTAATACGTATGTACATTTCGTAAGAGTCCATAATATCTACGAGAGAGGTTCGCCGCAAGCCTGACTTTCACGAACCATACCTTCTATGCTTAATACATCTAAGCAAACTTCGAAATTTCACAGATATAATCCAACATCATCGTTCACGTAATACTTTGAACGCTATTCATTGGCGCTGTGGCTTTGTTTGCATTATCTTCGATTTGCAGACGTGACTTGTGATAGAAACTAGTTCAGTATAAATTATGGACTTGCACTGATTGAATTGTATATAAATATGTATATTCATTTCATTACGTAGTCATGATATAACGGTGATCAATATGAATTTCTGATTTTCTGCTTAATAATCTACACACAGATATTAGAAGGAAAGTTACGTGCATATACTAGTCTACTTTTAAAATGGAGTTGCACTGTTTTAACTGGGGAAATGTTTGGTGGGCGTGACTGGTGTGAAAATTTTCACATTTTTCCGTTAATTTAGATTACGACATTGCATACTGACACTTTGTGTACAAACTAAGCGGCGGGTCATCGACTCTTGTATGCTTAGTCACCGCTTTCGCATCGCTAGTAAGTGCGGTGACGGCCTTATACTGCCAGTCACGATCGCGACAAGAATCGCAACTACATAGTTTAAAAGACTGGCCCACGATTAACGATTATGCCCCCACTATTGTATCATATTATCAACAGTATCAATGAAGGCCAACTACCAGTCTCGTAGGAATCTCTGTACCTTGTTATTGCAGTACCAACTTATTGTATTTATTATACATTCCATATCATATAACAGTATATTTAATTACTGAAAGATATCATACCTTTGCTAATTAATAGTAATATTGTATATTAAAAGCAATTACCTAAAATTACGTAATGAACGACTAACCCTAATTTATTACGGTAAGTCGTTCATTATGTATGTAGTCAATCAGGTCTATTGAAGATATTATCAGTAATATTATATTTTAATTGATCTTGTGACATAATGACATCCAGTACCCACTGGTAGGTACCCACCTACCGTGGCATCTCGATAGATTAGATTACACTTGAAGTAGGTACATTATCAGTTCTTCACAGTCATTAAAGTATAATAATATAGTTATCTATTAACGCCAGATAAAATAATGAGATGTCAGTAAAATTATATGTACGAAACATTTTTCGTTTGTTTGGAGAAAAATAATTACTACCTATCTATTTAAGTGCTTTTTAAACATCATAATATAATAATGACGTACCGAATAAAACGGTCCCAGTATTTCGTACAAAGTTGAAATAAATTGGTATGTGGATGGAAATCAGTGATGTAGACTAATGCCACGAATACTAGGCCTTATTTTTGGCACCATAGACGAACCTAATTATTAGTATGTGTGATCAAGAGAATAGCTTGCAAACATGATCTAATTGAGGACTCGATGGAAACACAAAGGGGAGCAAACGTTTCGACGCGGTCAATATCGAGTGTCATCCTTGTTCTCATTCCAGCCTCCACAATGAATTCATTCAATCTCGTATTCTCGAGTAAACCACAAAATATCTCAAGACCAAAGTGACGTGCTATAATGACATTTTCACGTAACGCTAAAAGCCTTGACATTTCATAATGTTATTGTTATAGATTTTATAGCAGCAGGTACGCGTGATAGATATATTAGACTATAACGTCGACCAATATGCGTTATTATATAAAACATAAATTCGATAACATTATGTAATGGCACGTATGGTGCGTAATATTTTCTTTCGTGCGGAAATAATTTCAGAAGCAAACGATTTCCGTAACTCTACAAGAAACTATTGAATAATACTGTTTGAATTTATTCATCGTGTGAATTATTCATTGAGAGGAATATTTCTAAAATGTAATAGCTTTCAATAACACAAATGGATGTCTAACGATTATCTAGATGAATTTGATAGAAGTATGATTTTATCTAAGATAGGTAAATGTGATATATCTAAGCGGTAATTGCGTAATTGCAATGATGATTTGTTAAAAATTATAGGATAAGATAGAGATATTCAGTAAATGAACTCACTTTAAAAATGCAATGAGGAGTAACATTGTAAGTATCGAACGATTCAAGGCAGTTAAACTGCTTATTAATATTTTAACCGTAAAATATCTTGACGAGAGCTATTTTAAGTAAGTAATCGGCTGTGGATTGAGTAAGGTCGACTACGGACAACGAAGAAAGTCCACGGTCACCACTTTGGGAACCGGAAACTTGACCATAGAGCTCATATTTTCAATATTTTAAAAAATTTGCATTCAGAAAATGTCTAAATGCAGTAAAAGACTTTGCCTGCTTGGTTCAACATTGAAAACGTCGCCCGGTCAAAAGTTTTAGAAATTGTAGGTATCCTTAAAGAAGTCCGTTTTATCATTTTTTATACGGCATTAAAGGTTAAGTTAAAAAAATCTGTTGATCACACACTAAAACAAAACTAATGAATAAAATCATATGAAATAGCCTAACAGAGGCCAGTTTATATGAAGCTATCACTACCGCCTTTTAATATCATGATAATATTTAAGTATTCAAAATGACATAACATCGAAATAGAAAAACAGATTCGTGTGGTACGGAAATCGCATCGCACACGCCTTAAACTCACAGCTACCATTTATAGTCATATAAAATATTCGATTACGTAGCTACGTATTTATATCTGTCACTAAACATGCAAATGAAGACTTAAAAACAAGCCTGTGGCTCTGGAAAGTTAAATAATACCTCATGAATATGTTTTACAATCCCATGAAAACATGGCATATTGATTAAAGGCCCGGAAATATAAGCGCACGTTTTTAATAGAATAAGTGATGAACATCTCTTAAATTTTTCAACGTTAAATTATCATGTAAGTATATAATTAAGCCGCCTTCTTTTTACGATATTATGGTATTGCGTATCACATACCGAGTGTTAAACGTAGGTAAATTTAGATATTTACAATGTGGAAAATATCTGATTTCATATTTAACAATAGAAATATAAACAATATTAGTCCTTATGGTAATAGTTATCTATGCTCCGATGTCCAAAGAACTACAGCTTTGTATACCAACTTTGGGAACCCAACTAATACCTCTTACTGATATCACAAAACCCATTGTTTTCAATTACGACTGACAGTACATCGGCAATTTATCTACTTAATTATTGACAGTATCACTTACTTGACATCCTCAATCTTAGGGTATGTGCATATCCTGAGAGTCTTTGTATTAGATCCGACGGCGTATAGCTTGCCATTTGGATGAAACTCTGCACATCGGACCGCCTGAAGATCTTCCAACACTGTGACAGGTTTGAAGGTGGGCCTGGATCCGTTTACCTCCGGTCCTACACCCACATTACTCGGATTCGAGATGGGCACACCCGTGTGACCACCATTTCTCATTTGTGCCTGCAACAAAGGAAACATTGATATGAAGTTCTGGAGTGATATGAAGTTCTGGAGAAGATTATAAATTCCGATCAAACTTATTTCCAGTAACATTTTTGCGTAAAATGTAACAAATTATCTGTAAAACACTTTTCATGTAAGATTAAGAATAATTGCCTTGATTGACAACTATCTAATATAATAATGTCTACCTGAATTTGATGATTGACACTTGAATCGGTAAGTACATTGGATATAAACTTATCTTATTCGCCATATTTCAAAAATATTGACAACCAATTAAAGGGAATATGGGTTGTCTTTAAAATATAAATAACTCTCATTTGAATTTAAAAGTGAAAATTGCCTCTCGATTAGAACGGGAACGGAGAATTAAATCGTCGCGCGACGTCACCGAGGAGAAACCTCGGTAACCTTGTTCATTGCGTTCTCAGATCGGTGATAGCGCCGGAGACGGTGACGCACCGACCACGCTTGCCCAAGACCATGACGCAGACATTCGAGTTCCGTATACCTCTACTACAAAGAAACACGTAGAATGTCGTTTGCAATTGGTATGATACCATAAATAGTATACAAGTATAAAACCCAGAACTGAACTAAATGTATGTTCTGATAGTTTTGAATGAATCATAATTTTACTTTAGAAAATAACCGAAAACAGGAAAATAAACAAGTGACAAGTTTTTTAAGCTCTCCACAACCTCCCACAACTGCTGGATCCTGTAAACCAGGATCTGTAGAAGATACAGCCACGAAAACACCTCGCCCTGCCGTCTTGGATCCCGTAGCGAAATAAATCAGAAGTTACCTATAGAAACGAAGAAAAGGAATATGTTCAACTTAACTAAGTGTCTTAAATAAGCAGGAGACATAATAAACCTTTAAGAGCAACAAAGACTGGGAGACCCCACTGCCAAAACACCAGGTTAAGATTAAAATATATAACAAAACTTTTCAAAAAATAATTGACATGTTAAACAATAATCCCATAAAATGCACAAAACCTATTCATTCAAAATAAACCAATCGTGTTGGAAAGCGTGCGAGAACAGTAGATTGTATAACACTTAAACTGTCAATGACTTGCATTCAAAACGAACAAGATTCATTGAAGCCCGGTATGTTGGGCAAAACGTGGTAATGTGGTAACTAGAACAGGTTGTATTGTATGGATTGATAAGGTAGGCTGCCACTTGTATTGCAACCTAGTAGGAACCTGTTTCGATTAGCATATAGAAAAAACGGGCTGACCGATAACAAATGCAATGCACCCATTATACAATGTTACGCTCTAAATATTTGGATCAGTTTAGTGACACACCTAATCCAAATTAGCGTCAACAAATAATAAATATAGGTGATTCAACAATTACAACAACCAAAAGCGAATAGTGTAAAAGTGATATCGGTGATCAAATCAAATCATGATCACAGCGCGACAAGGCACGCATTTGAATCTCGTTTCAAACGGTTCGAATCAAGTAATTGGTGTAGCTTTTCGTTTCATTGTTGCAACGCTTGCCGTAAACGAGTTGTAGAAAGTGTACTTTACCGCATTTTTACGTACGAGATCATTTATTACGCTATTCCGGAAAAATAAAGTTAAAGCGAGACTTTTGATTTACAAATTGTCGCTACTTTTAGCGTATAACAGTTTTATTTATTGTTCACGTCATCGGCTGTATTAATGGATATGATCACACGACAAATATTATTCAGTCTCAGTGGCCATAGTCGTATACTTGTCATTATCTTGTAGATCTCAAGAAAATCTCGTAAAGACACAAAGAAAGTTAAGATTATGTTATGGAAAGCGTAAAAAATCTAGATTCAGTTTAATAAAAACTGAGTCAGTTTATAATAAAGTTTTAAATTAATAGCTGTATTGTCACCGGTAACATTAACAGATTACTTTACAGTGCTGTTTCATATAGTAAAATATGGTAGTGACTTTCATTTAGACATCTTAAACATTGTTACGTGTCCTTCAGTATTTACAATATTTACTTGCAGGTACAAACTGTTTGAAACTTACTAGGACGACAGTTTTTTGAAAAAATATACATCATAAAGTTTTGGCATTATCGACTGATAGTCATTTGCAATTAAAATATAGAGAAAATCTCATGATTATTGCAAGATTATGCATGTTATGTTTTAGTATTCATAGTAACATTCGTTGGCACTAATATTGTATTATGTAATAATTATAATAATTATTACGTCATCTGAATATTTAATGCATTTTTAATTTGTGTCAACTTACTATCACTATCATATGCCACTGAGATATTTACGGTCGGGAGTGTTGATATATACCTATTAATAATTTTGTAATTATAAATGAAAAGGAGATGTTGGGAGGAACTTTAAGGATTGGCCGCAGTAACCTCTACGAAGAGATGAATGGAAGGAGGGTAGAAAGGCATTTGCCCTTCAATGGGACAATCATGGCTGATAAAAAATTAAAAATACTACGATCACGATTACGGCCAAATAATATAATATTGATTTACCGTTTTGAAGAATGACAAATGCCAAAATAATCTGGCAACTAGTAAGTAGGATATTTCTGCTTACTTATATTATGCAAATTATCAGTAAAGTTATGATTACATAAAGAAGAAGTAGTGTCTACTTATAACGAACGTAAGTTCTTCTATGTTTAAGTTTCGACAGTTTCTAAATCTATTGTAGTACGAATAAATAGGCGCAAGAGGTAGAACTTCAATTTGTAAGAACTAGGCCAACATTACAACTTAATGAAAAATAACATAACATGAACCACCTTGCATAATTAGACATCATTTCAAAACACAGACTTAATGAAACAATAAATCATTCTACAATAGAATTCACACTCGCGTTGCAAAAGATGACTGAAGCAATAGTAGTACCTAGTAATAACAAGTTTCATGTAACTTGATAACCCAAATTCGCATGAATAGACACAGAGTTTTGATATTAAAGTACTTATAACTATGATACGTGTGTGTGCGATCACATAAAAACAAGTATTGAACATCCGTTACACACGCAGGACGGCGTGTTGCGGTTCAACGGAGCTGAACGGGCTCAGACGAGGCGTCGATGCTTCATTCCCATAACATTGTACTACCGTACCTGTAGATACCATTAAAACCCTATCACGTTCGCTAAAGCACCACAAATTACTCACTTCGCTTAGCATCAACAAGATAATCATGTAGATTTAAAAGCTTAGAAAGTACGCATAAATACATATCAAAGAGCGGTTACAGTTAAACACTATGGTTAAATTAAGTCTGTCGTAGATGGCATTCTAACAGACAACTAGTGCGATCATTTTACAAAGACACAACTGTCTGGATAGAAAGTTAGTTCAATTACCTGAAAAGCAGAGATCCGTTTGGGAGGCAACAACTGCGGTGGTCTATCGACTAGATTTTCCATGGAATGGCGTGTTAAAAATCCTTGTTTTTGGAAGGAGGGGTTAGCTTTGTATGAGGTACGATTGAATTTGGTTGCTGGTGCGACTATACGGTTGCCGTTTTCATCGTCATCTTCCCACTCTGTTACCACTTCTGTGCGGACATCTTCTAAAGAGCGGGAACGACTACACGGACACGCTGCTGGTGGCGAAGGGTTTGGATTCCTAAGTTGACGGGGACGATCTCGTACACCATATAAGTCGCCATGGCCACTTGGTGTTGGAGCGCCAGCAGAACGATAACTCGGAGACAAGAAATAGTAGTCCCGTGATTTATTACTGTATGCACTCATTCCGGAGAAATCCGAGTAAGTAGATCCTTTTGACGAGGACGTCTTAAAATTTCTCAAATCCATTGGGTCTGGTGGTCGGAAATAAAAGTTTGGTTGTGGCTGCGCCTGGCGCGAAAGCGGTGGCCACGGTCTAAACGGAGCGTCTACGAAATGTGCCGGTTTGGACTTCATGTCAGATCGCGATAGATCATCCGAGCGCGGCGGTGTCGGTTCCGTGCGGATGTAGTCGAGGAAACTACGCTACTGTTGTCACGGGCAGCGAGCGGCGTGCGCCAGCCCACCACCAGTGTTGCACCACCGTCGGCTCATGTTAGACAGAGACGAAAACAGAGAGAAAGGCGCTCTAACGTTCCGCTCGATCCGTTGAATGCGAATACAAGTGAAAGGGGTAGCCCGTGCGCGGTCAACGCGCGTCGTACGCGCACAGATATTGCTCGCGAGCAAAGTGCTTGTAAATATCTCTCCGGGCACACAATCGTAGATTGTAAACTTTATTGCAAATACGAACAATATTGTATTCGTGGTCGTTTTATTGTGATCATTAATCGAAGTACAGCTTTCTATCACACAGAATATATAAGTTTCGCTTCTACTGTAATAATTAGGTAGGTATATGAGACGTCTCTTCCGTCAGAAAAAAGAAAAATGATTAGGGAAATTAAACCAACTCCAAAAAAGAATAGTTTGGAAGCCTCTAATAACTATGATCTAATTTCTAATACATATAGGTACCTATATTAGTTATCTTTTGTGAATAATTTCAATTAAAAAAAAGTGTTAAGTTCCTTTCCATATGCGTGCATGTAACTTTCGCTTCATTCTTACGCCTGACTAGCTATAAAAAAGCACCGCAGAACAAAAAGTATTCGTCTCATAATAATTATTTGATTCCTATTGAACGATGTGTTGTATTTAAAGGAGATAACGATAAGAAATACCTATGATGCGTACAAATGGATCTAACAATTACCTACATAAATCATATGAATATTGCTCACGTAGGCACCCACGCCAGTCTAGAAATAACGCAGGAAAATTCAAACATTTAATTAGTCACCTTATTCGTAACGAAGGAACTCAAGGCTGTGCCATATACAGAGCATAATAATAAACAACTTTGCGTCAAAAGAAACTCATCAAAATCTTAATTTCGACCTACGCGTGAAAAACGTATAACAATTAACACCACATTTAAATACGTTACGGAAGACGTTTACAATACTCACGAACACATC